ATGTCGGACAAAATCTGATTATAATTGATTGTTCAGCGATTAATAATCTATTATAATAGATCTTTTTGTCAAAAATAATGGTTAAACTAGCGTTATAATAGTGCCATTGTAATGTATTATTAATCGCTGAATAACCAATTATAATAGATTATTTTTTTAAAATAATTATTAAAATAGGGTGATAATCTGGGCATACTAATAAATTAATGATCGTTGAATAATCGATTATGATCCATTACTACTTATTGATCAATCGTCATTTGCTGCGTTACTTTCTCATTGAGCTTATTGTACTCTGACCTTTGCATCTATTTTAGTCTATTGTAGTGTATCTAATGCTTCTAGCAGTGTCTAGTTCAGATTTTTCCTTAATCAGTTCGGATCTTTTACTTGATTATAACACATAATATCTGTGCCTATTACGATGATTACTTACCTTTTAATCTATTATAAGCGAAGCTTACTTTTTAACCTATTATAACTAATTCTTACCCTTTAACCTGTTATAATCGATTTTTACCATTTAATCAATCATAATCATTCCTTACTTTTTAAATCTCTTTTGATTACTGGAAAGATTCGTTTTTCTCGAGATTCGAACATGAAACCTCTAATTTTGCGTAGCTATTCGGATTTACTATATTAACATACTATTAAGTTACTAGTGAACTAAATTGTGTGAATTTAGTTAAGGTTGGAACTCCTTTATAAAGTGTGTGTGTGTGACAGAAATCGCGCAATTTCATTATTACTGATTAAAATGGATTAAATTTTAAGACTCCATTCAAATTGGCGACTTTTCCACATTTTCTACTATCATGGAGACCTATGAGGAAAACTGATGAAAACTAGATTATAATACAGCACCAATAATATCTTTTCCCACGTAAAATTTTTTGATAGAAATTTGATTAAAAATCGATTAAGATGAGACGATTTTAATCAGATTTTAATCTTTTTAAATCTATTTTAACCGATTAATAAGTTTTAATCAGTTAAAAATAATTATCAAAATCAATTTTAATCCATTTAGGTTTATTAATCGATTAAAGTAAAATTAAAACCAAATGAAATCTGTCTTCAACCCTAAAAACTCGATTTAAATCTGATTAAAATCGTCTCATTTTAACCGATTTTCAATCAATTTTTTAATCAGAAATTTTTACATCGGTTTTCACTCCATTTCTTCAATTTTTCTTTAAAGACTCTGTGTCACTATACTTGACATAAAATTCATCTTAACAGGTTTTGAGAACCATATTAGGTTATCACTTTCAAACAAAATGAGAAGGTATTCAAGTATGTTTAAATCATTAGAACACGCTAAAAATTACTACTAAAACTAGATCGTTTTTGAACTGATCTAAATACTTTTATTCTACTGCTTAGTTTCAACTGCTTGCATGCAAATTTCAAAGGATATCTAAAATGAGTAGAATATTTTTAATGATTATATTCATTATGAACGAGAAATAGATTTGAACTCATTAATATACTCAGTCTATTTTACAATAATTTCTCAGTAAAAGATGCTAACAGATTGTTAGTCTGATCTAGTAAATAGTTCACATTAATAATCTAGTATTTCCATTGTTTGAAAAAGAAAATATAATAGATTACTTTTTTAATCAATTAAAATAAATTGGATTTTCAATCTATTATTTGGATTATTTTAACAAATTCAATCAGAAATTTCGGTTTTAATCAGATTTTTGTGATTATTTTGGAAATAATCATAAATAATTTGATTTTTTTACGGTTTTTTTACATAGGCAGTTTCACTAACACAAAATTGATTGAAATCTATTAAATTTAGAATGGATTATTTGGATTTCGTGAAATAAAATCGATTTTAATCGATTTACACAAAGAAAATCTATTAAAATCAATTATTTTATCAAATTTAATCCGACATTTTACGATTTTTTTTTACATGGGTTGTATTTCTAGTCAATATCAATATCCTCCATTTAGAACTACGAAAATCTGCGATGATGACCGGTTTCCGCTATTACTCAAACAACATAAGACTCAATGCATCCAGCAATACTAATATGCCAGTCTCCATTGTGGCTCTTTATAATCTTATCGACTTGATTCTCTGCTTTATTCCAAAGTTCTGATTAGTATTTCCCAAAATTAATTAGGAAGAGGAATTACTTCTTATCAGAAAGTTAAGTGCTCGAGCTTCTGAGATGAAACGTGTAGGAGAGACACCGAAATACAAAAAAAGTGACCGGTGCACCCCTAATTGCTTGTGCTTCTCTATTGAGTTCTGATAACTAACAAATAGATGTGGGTGTAGATGTGGATTTTCTCTTCACCGACTATCCACACACTCACACTCGAATTATTGAAGGTGTTCTATGGGATTCGACAGGACTCAAGCCTAGGATTCTTCGTTCTAGGTAAGCAATCGATCCAATGTTTCCAGCGCTATTTGGCAGACTGTTATTTTTAAAAGAAAAATATTCTTTCCCACAGAAAAAATAACTTGTAAAAAAAGTGTGGAACATGGATGCAATTTATATAAGCACCCTATTCGACCCATAAAAACTTTCAGTCCTATTATTTTAAATTAAGGTGAATATATTTTTGTAGAGAACTAAATTGCGCATCTTTCAAAACTAGTTTTGAAATTGTATCTTTTTTTTGAACTGATATATATATAAAACACTAAATATCACAAAACTTCTGTCACAGCCGGTAATTCTGTTATTTGTGCTGTGCTTCAACATATCAATTTGGTACCACTTGTGATAAAAACATTATAACAATTACTAGCTGTTATAGTTTTACTACTATCATTGGAGTAACAAAAGCGACTCTTTGCTTCTATTGAATGTTTGTTGATTCTAGCGATCAAGTCTTAGCAACCTCGAAGAATCACTAGGATCGGATTTTCTCTCTTGAATGATATTCTATCAATATGAACTACCCAGTAATTTAAGTTTTAGTTTGCAAAGTCTACTTTGTGTTTGAATGTATAAATCATTCAATCAAAAAGCAATGAAGAGAGTATTCGCATCAAGTCTGTTCTTTTCTGTGTATTGTTAAAGAACAAGAAAATTCTTTGACCTTTTCTAGAATACAAACATAGAAAACAATTTATAAACTGATTTTAATGTTTTTAAGAGAACGTAGCCACAAAAGAAAATGGTCGATTATGAAGAGTTACTAAGCCACACATATCTATAGCAAAAAAGGCAATCCTGTAAACTTCGATTTATTGTCTTCCATAAATATTATATCAAGGTGACGCAAAAACTACTATGCTTCAACTAAAATATATCATTCTCAAAAAAGTTTATTAGCTATATCCAATTATTGAAGTTCAGTAATTGAATTTATCTTGTTTATTCAAACTCATCTTGTTCTTGTCTAATATGATGTGCAAGTGTAAGATATGTGAAAAGGCTGTAACTGATTGTTGACAATCACCCGTTCAACCTTTTGAGTTTATAGATAATTGAAAAAGACCCGTAATAGTTATGAGAAGAATAGCTTATTTTCATTTTAAGCAAATTTCATTTAAGCTTTGTGTACATAATTTTGATGTATGTAATGTATTTTGCAATGCTTTCATTGAAAGATTTCATTGACAACTTGTTAAATAGTTGATAAATTTGTATCGAACGTTTATAATTATCTTCTGTCTCAAAAAAAATCTAATTAGCAATGGCAATGATTTCTTCATCTTTTTGTTGAATTATCTTTACCATCGTCTTTTACACATCTTGATCATTTTATCTCTTTTTTGCATGAGAATCATTGAGATTTCCCGAGTTATCTCTGTTTTACTTTTTTTATTCTGCAGTTCGAAAAAGGTTTCAAAAATTTTTAAGCGACTAGACGATACTTAACTAAAGATAAGGCAAAACGCGGAATCTGAATAGTCTACGAATTTTTTCATTAGAACAATTCAAATTTAAAGATTTTTTTTTTCATGCACACTTTTCACAATCCACTGTTTTAAATATCAACAATAAAATATTTTCACGAAAATAGTGTACTCTTTGCTTCTAGATCATTTTTTTCACAATACATATCTTTTTCCCGTAAAAATCAAAACAATTTATTAAATATAAAAGTCTTTCTTGTAAGAGGTTTAAATTTTCCATTAAGTTCGGATGAAAATATCTGGATCCAATTTGCTTGAGTCTTTTATCAATTTTCTAAGAAATCTCAAACCTTTCTTTTATGTGTATTATAGAGAGAGTATGATTCATCATTTTTTTCGGAAAGAGAACAGCGAAGTTTTTGCAACTTTGACTAATTATTGTATCTGCTTACTCATAAATAACTGCAAAGTGTCAGAGTTATAACTTTTATTATGGATGACTAATGTTGACCTCAGTGTTTTAAGATTTTTCAGCTCAAAACCTTGAAAACAAGGCATATCTTGACGTAATTATGCTAATTAAACTTTCAATTTTGCGAGAAATTGATTAATTAGGAAGAATAAAGGTATCTTCTATTACGTCCAACCTATCGTTCCTCAAGGGGAGTATTCTATTGTAGGGAGGAGTTTATTCGAAAATTGTTAAAATAGTGCATAATAGTGTTTTTATAGGTTTTCATCTATCATAAAATTGTTTGCCTTCATTGAATTCAAGGACTCTGAATTTTAAAATTGTCTCAGAACTTTTCGAATATTCTTTAGTTTACCAAATCACCCATAACCATGCAGCGTATGAATCAAGTTTTTTAGGTTATTATAAGTCATCATTTGTTTGTTGTCCATACAAAACGAAAACTATATAGACATTAAGCGACCTCTTATTTCGTTTTCGTATTCATATTGTATTGATTGGTCAGCTAAAGACTCGTCACTGGACGATGTATCAAACTGATTCATATACTTTTGTTTTTTTTTTCTTTCTTTCTTTGACTGATTAATTGAAATGAATCATTAAACCATTCCGAAAAAAAAACACTAACATCTGATATACCCATCAAAGTTCTTGTTGAACTGTGTCGTTTTATTTATCTTCTTGATAATGATGCAACATTTACCATCGATTGAAGGTAAATATATTGATTAATTATATTAAAATAAAACTACCAATTATCAATCATAAAAAAAACATTTAAATTGTGTCTAAATTATATACATTATTGATTAGATCGATAATGACATTGTAGAAGTAGAGAGTCTATTTGCGTATACGAATATGTGCTATTCAGAAGTTTTTGAAATCTGTTTAATTTTTATGTGATCAATAAAGAAATCGTTTTTCTTCACTTTACAAGTCAACAAGTTTTGAAGAAAAATTCCATCGCTTTGGGAAATATTTTGTATTCATGATAGATTCTTTATTGCTGTTATGTGGGTACTTTTCTTATATTAGTTTTTGACAAAATATTATCGTTTTGTTGATGAAAATCTTTATTCGAAAACATACAAACAGTTGAGTATTATCCTCATCGAACAAATAAAGGGTCAGTCTCGAAGCGATAAGCTTATTCTCTTCTTTTTTTTCTCTAATCGATGATGCATCTTACTTTCTGTTGTTTTTTTTTTCGACACCCACAGTTAATTTTTTTTCTCTCTTTCTCTGCCTTGCGTCTCGAATAGCGTGTGTGTGTGTCATACACTCATACATCTCTTCGCACACGACACTCTTATTTCTGCTACACAGAGCAATTGCACGTTCGCCACTCGTACAAGGTCGAGTACACTCAAGTATATGCACGAACTATGATGGTTTGATAATTTCTTATTCTTCTCCTTCTTTTACACATTTATTTATTCAAAACTCACGTCTCTTAATCTAATGATGTTCTGTTCAATAATACCCTGTCATTGATATTTACGCATTAACTGAACAAAGAATGATAGACAATATCGATTGTCAATTAAATGACAAAGATCAGTGTGAAAAAAGTAAGTTAAAAAACGTAATGTCAGTATTATTTTTATAAAAATGTGAAGCTTTCTAACACTGATTGGTTCGATAGCAATGTCTAGCTGTGTAAACAAATAATCAGAGGAGCAAGAAACACAGAGAAGGAGAGAGAGAGAGAATGACAGACTTGCATATATATGCATTTGAAATACTATTACAGACTAGTAGAACAGAACAGATCTGGGAGCTGTTTATAGAATTGACATTAGATTAGTATTGGATTAGCCGCTAACAGACAGTCGTCTCTTGGTGATTCTATATGTAATAAGATTAATATAACTGAAAGAGTCTAATAATGTTGAATGTTACAATGTCTAGAGTATTGATGACGCAAAATTGAACAACTGACACTAAGACTAATAATGCAATGTTAGATATATTTCATTCTTTCAGGAGAACCATCATCTCATCATTTACTTTTTCCATTTGAAAATTCATTAAAACAAACCCATAATAATACTAACAAGACAGTACAAATTAAATTTCAAAGCAAAAGTCTTGATGATTTACGAGTACATCGCGAATGTCAACGTCAACAAACAGATGACAATTATGTTTCAAATACAACACGAACAGAAATGGATTTGTCTGCTATTGGATGTAATATGAATATAGATATTAATGAAAAACAATTGTATGATGATAATAATAAACATGACATACGCGAGCAAAAAAGTCAATCAGCACCAGTATCACCAACAAAAATCTATGATAAAGAATTAGCTACATTTATTCAATGCGAACAAAAATTAATTACTGATAGTTTTGTTTATAATATTGATCTATCCGATGTCAATGATATAACACGTCAACCTCAGGCAAGCACAGCAATATTCTATGTATGTTAATTGCTACAGATTTCTTATTAGTATCGTTTTCTAAGAAGAACAGAAAAGAAAAGAAATTCCGATGCCTAATTTATATCCAGTCTTTTATTTTATCTTAACATTGAGAAAGGATTCACTTTTTATAACAAATCATTAAAAAAAATGCATTGAGACTATTTCTCAAGTGATGACTACATACAAGGCGAAATAGTTAATATTCATGCATGAATAAAAAATTTTTCTTTTTCGTCTACCCGTCAAATGATTTTCAAGGTTTTTCATTTTTTTGTTCACTTACATGATTCAGTTAAATTCACAACTTCTAAAGATAGAATAGAAAATGTGTGTTCACTGTTAAAATAAGAATTATGTAATAATAATGAGATGAAACCTTTTCAAAAATATTTCGTATCGATGTATGACTGAATGTGATTGTTTGTATCTCATTATAGAAAGAAATAGACGAAGTATTCATTTATTCTTGTTCTTTCATTTCGTCTTTTTTTCTTTTTTAAGGATGATGATCATTTGTCCGATGATATTTCCTCTGAACCATCAGTTAATATTATTCATTCATCTTTAATTAATTGTTGTGTAACAATAGCTGAAGAAAACGAAGAAGAACTTGAACAATTAAGACGCGATGATGAAGAAGAAAACCAAAGAAAACAATATCATCTATTAAAAATAAATGATGGATCAATACCAACAGTAACATTACATGACAACGATGATCGAGCTGATATATTAGAGAATGAAAATGAATCTGATATAACAATTATGAATACTACAAATAGTTTTGAAAAAACTCAAGATGATAATGAACGTCTTTCAACCATTTATGAATCTCTAAGTCCACAACTTCGAACAGAAGAAGAAGAAGATGACGACGATGACGATGGTGAAGAAGATATTTATGATGATGCATATGACAAATTAATTGTATATGATATTGCTAATGTTGAATCAATTGAAAAAGTAATTAATATCATTTATATGTATAATATTAATTGATATTTTTATTCATTAGCCCTTGACTACCAATCCTAAAATTGAACCAATTATGTCTCCGTCTTCCTCATATCGTTCTCCAATTCTTGATGGAACTCGTATTCGTTCATGTTATACTGATGCATCACTTGAACCATATTCTACATCGACTAGTACTCTTTCTGCTTCAAATTTATGTGGAACAACAACTATGATTAGTTCGAAAGTTTTTACTCCTCCATTTTTAAATACTAATGAAAAATACTTTTCATCACCGGTCATCAATAATCAAAATAATTCTATAAATAAATCTTTGGTTTCACTTCCAATAAAACAAGAATCACCATCGAAATCTTCACCTATGTCATTATCAGTTCCAATGTTACTTTTACCCACAACAACCGAACAACGTACATGCATGATGGATAATAATCAATTAATGCTATTGCAACATGTCAAAAAAATGAAAGTAATTCAATCTTCATCATCAAGTCTGTCAGATTTTATCTTACCAGCATCATCATCAACTTTAAAGAGTACAAGTGAGTATGTCGCAACATATCTTTTTCTTTTATCATATCTTTTGAAAAGTTCAGAACAAATGTTTATTATACGACTAAACAAACGAAATACCTGTTACGAACTCTTCATACATCTATAATGGATTTCTCACTTAGTATAATCTGTTTGAACTAACATTTTCAAGGATAAGTATTCTTGATAAGAAACACTTTTGATAAACATATCAGTTTGATATATTATACTAGAACGAACTTCTAGCTTATTCAAAACCTATTGATTACCTTCAGAAGAACTCTGAAACTTCCATCGCAAGAATAGAAACAGAATCAGCGATCATTTCAAATGAAAGTCAATACCTATGCATAGGTCTCCTATGAATAAAATTTGGAAAATTCACTTTCAATTCATTTTTTTATGATTAATGTAGTAGACATAGTGTTAAAATAAGCGTAACCTCATCATCTAAAATCTTACTTTTCTCAACATATGAATCAACTACAAAAAAATTGCCTCTCTCTTTGAGTTTTAAAATTAAAGAACAAATATTCAAAGAGTAGTTTCAATTTATCTGATTGAAAAGTATGTTTCGAGAAACATGCTAAATAAGTTTATAACAGAATTTTTTTCGCGTGAGCTATGTGAATTATGTATTATATGTTAAGATTAAAACATAAATATTAATCCTTATCTGAAGGATTAGTAAGTACTTAATGATTATTATAAAATAGTTTCATTGAATGCTAATGCTAATCCACAGACAATTTTTGCACGACTTTGAAAAAAATCACCGCTAAAATGCTTTGGAAAACCGGCTGAGAGAGCCAAAGTATCATCCAATACATCTACTAAAATGTGATTGTTTTGCAAAATAACATATATCCAGATTCTAAGAGAGAACTGTGATTCATCTTCGTATAATAAAGAATCGATTTTTCTTAAAGAACAGGAACTTTATGACATTCATAAAATGTTAAAATTTTCAGCACACTTGAAGCTTGATGAGTAAATGCTGTGCTACACTCAAAATTCTCAAATGCTTTCTTATAGGAGATATTCAAATCATAAGAGTAAAAAGATGGCTTCTTTTATTGCTCTCCTTTCGCAATCATAATAGATCTGATAGAGTTAAAATTTTTTACAGATACTTAACACTGTCTAGGTTGCCTACTTATTTTTGATTTCTTTTAAAAATTTCCAATCAGCAAAGAGTGATTCTCACAAGGAACTACTGACTAATTGTTTCTTTATTTCAGTACATTACGAAGAAGTACCAAGTGTCCATCATTCACTGACAGATTGTTCATCAATTCATCGAATATCTTGTTGTGCACCCGTTAATGATGAACATCATTCGACAAGAAATAAATCATCCGCAGATAATCAACGTCGACCATCATTTACTCGTCGTATTCTTACAAATGGTTTACTATTATCTCATTGTTCAAATAGTAATCCAAATCATCGACGAGCACAACCACCTCTTACATTTAATCAATATCGCCATCAAGTTAAACCAAAAAGTGAAGAAAAATTATCATCATTATCTTCTCCTATTACTTTTTCATCATCATCATCATCATCATCTTCTGAATCAAGTTCACCATCAGGTGAAAAATTAATGTCTCGATCAGATTTTATTCTTCAACAACAGCAACAGCAACAACAAAACATATCTCAACAACGTAAAGCAACTAGTCTGAAAACTATAGCTGAAACATCCAATCAACAACCATCAAAAATTCTTTATCCAATTGATTTTCAAACAAATCATATTGATCAATCATGGTATAAAAAACGCTTATCACCATCTCATCATAATAAAGTTCCAACATCGGATTCTGGTATTGTCATCGATACAGTTGATACTCGACAAACATCCAAGTCAAGTATTGAAGAAGTAAGTATGATGTGTTTCGTCACTTTTTCTATTTCATTAATTGAATCCCAACATATGCCAGAATATAAAAGGAAGTCATATATGCATGTTTTGATCTTCTCTTCTATATTCTCTTTTTCACTAAAGGCTTGTTGTGCTCTCGCTCTCTCACACTATTAATATTAGATTCACTAATTGAACTAGTTCGTCTATTCGTTGGACATTGTAGATGTGATGTCCGATAAGACAGGAAAGAAGAGAAAATGAGAAATAGGAGTTGCCCTTGATTGCTCTATTCACACGTACATGCATTGACCGTTTGTCCTCTATTTCTCTCTTCTTTTTTTTTTTACTCACATACTTGTCCGATGACCGATGAAGTGGATGATTGCTGTTTAGAATGATGGCGATGGTATTCCTATTGATATTACGAACAGTGGCAAATTAAAACAATATCAAAATACCTATCAAAAAACATTGACGGATTTGACTATTATCAAAAAGAATATTGTCGATATTGAAAGCCGTCTTTGTGAAGCTATGAGAGAGGTAAGATCATACAAACAACTGTCAATAAATTTCTTTTATACATAACAAACTGATCTTTTCTTTGTATTTCTTTTTTTCTGCCTAATTATCTCCTTAGGCTAAATCACTCTCAACCTATTGCGTATCCATGTTTGTCTTCAGAAAAGAGAAAATGAAAAATCTTGTATATTTTTACATAAAATAAAAATCATGTTTTGTTTGAAAGTCCCACGTACGTTTTTGTTTTATTCTTTTTGAACATCTGTTTCTCCATCTTCTCTTTTCTTTTCTACAATTCATCTAAAAGGAAACCTCATTCTATGACGACAAGTTGTTTCTACACCAGTCGAAGAACAAGGAAGAAAAATGATTACGTCTTTGTGCATATGTATAAGAGTATTATTGATAGGTTGGACATTAATGCATACAACACAATACGAGAGAAAAAAAAATAATGATGAACGGTGCTTCTGTCTGTCTGCTTTATATTTTTGTTACATTCACTGATGATATGAGCAATGATGTCGATGACTGTTGTTATCCATTTTTTCTTCTTCTTTCTACAGTAGTCTAATGTAGCCTACTACTATCTTTTAGATGTGCATCAGTAGAAAAAATCGATACAAACAATCGATTGTGACAATTTTCTTTTATTCGATTAAGTTTTTAATCGTATTCATCTTTCTTTGACATTCGACTTTCATCTATTTAAACGTATATTGAACTATAGAGATAAGTTTTTTTTTTCTTAATCAAACTGCATTGAGATACCTTTGATTACGATAATGATAAAGGTGACAATGAGTGTTTGAATACGAGTGTATATAAAAAAAAAAACGTTCTTATTCACTCATTGACTAGTCTTTTATTTATTCATAAATGAAATGAAAAGGTTTTTAAATAGTCTTTGAAAAAAAAATTCATTGTAATAGGTTCTTTTTATGCACAGTTGTTTCTTTTTCTCATCATCAAATGCAAAATAAGGCAATTACTAGCAAACGATCAGTTCTTTTCAAGATCGATAGACATAGACAAGTTCGACTTTTTTCTTCATTCTATACTATCCCATTTAATTTATTGATCGCGTGTTGACATGAGAATAGACAGCTTGTTACCAGATGTGAACGAAAAAAAAAAGTATGCGAATGAATTCTTTCTCTTCTTTTTTTTTTTTTGTTTTACTCTCATGAAACAAAGTCAAAACAGTCTTTTGTTATATAGATTCACCTGTAATTTTTTTTTAGCTTGAAATTGAACGTGCATTGGTAGAAAGTGAACATGAATTAGTATTTAAACAAATTTTAAATGCAAGTGAAAGTGATCAACAAAAAATTCGACATTTATACAATGATTTACAATTATTAATTGAACGAATAATGGCAGAAAAGAATTCTGTAAAAAAAAAAGAACAACAAATGAAATTTAATTTTTAAGATATCAATTTTGTTTTATTTTTATTTTGTTATGTTAGATTCGAAATGAAATTGATTATACTCAACAAATACTTTTTAAACTTGAACATGAATTACGTGAACTCGAAGAACAATGTCGACCATCTGATGATAAAATTCTCAAGTGAGCTTAGTAATCTTTCTTTTATGTTCTATTTAATCAATGATTATGTTGTCTAGAAAGAAAGAAATTATTGCTGAGACACGTAAAAAACATGAAGATCTCGAATTTCAATTAATGGAACTAGAAACACGTTGTGAAGCTGAACTTGAACAAGCTGAAGAACATTTTCAAAATGAACAAATTATTGTTGAACAAAATACAACTATTCGACAAGTAACAAAAAAATAAATAACAAAAAAATATTTATATTTTTTGTGAATTGAAAATATTTTATTACTAATAATAGAATACTTTACATGATCTTGATCGTCAACAAAATCTTATTTTACATCAAGTTATTGTTGAAAAAGAAAAACTTGAAAGAGAAAAACAAAAACTTAAATTATTATTTAAACAAAAAAAATTCGAAGCCAATGAATTAGAACAAAAAATTAATAAAATATCATCAAAACAAGAAAATTCTTATAGCAATGGTCATCATCAACAATCTATTAATAGTAAAAGTCTTCTTCTAGATAAAACAAAAACAAAAGTTAATTGTTGTATTATTTTAGGTGTTTGGTTTAATGGTAATACAACAGTTTATCATTCAACTCCATCAAATCTTTATAGTCCAATTAACTATCCAAATGGTATTTCATCACCAAAGTAATTTTTTTTTTTCATTTAAATTATGCAATACATAATGTTTCCTATCTAATATTAGAATGAATATCAAAAATACAGAACAAGAAAAATTGAATGAAATCAAAGAAATGATTGCTGTTGCTAAACTTGAAAAAATGAGTGTTCTCGAACAACAAGTAAGAAAATCTTATAATGAAATATTTTCTAATAATAAAAATTTCGTTGACAAATAAAACATCTATAGTAGAAAATATTTGAGCCGATAAGTATACAAATTATGATATCAACTTTATTGCAACAGTTCCATTTCTCTACTTTTCGATTTTTATATAGGGAAGTCGAAGAGTTGATGCATCTTCGAAGATCACCTTGATCTTTCTGACAATATTTTATCCAGCTTAGAGGGGTATGGAGTAGAATTCATCGGATTCAAAATTTTCGGACCCAGATCAATCGAGCTCTATGAAGGAATCAGTGCTCTTCTAAAGATTGAGTTGATGCGCTCAGAATTTGTGGTTATTCTACCATACACTATGTGGCTGTACTTCCAAAAATTAGTGTTTGTCTTCTTGGAGTTTTAAATCAATGGTCTGGAGGTGAAAACTAGAATAAAACATTGTTTTGTAATGTTGTTGGCTAAATTTCAGAGCTTTAGACAAATTTTCCTTTTGAAATTTAGCTGAATAAGGTTGATTTTATTGAAGTCTATTACTGAAATTGTTCTAAAGCTTCGATATTTCAGCTAGATCATAATTAACGTTTGTATCTTCTAAGACTTTTCTAATCTACATATTCAACATTTGTGAGCAAAACTTTTTTTTCATTTAAAAAAACATCGTTAAATTTGCAACAAAATTTAGTTACGTGAACGTTATAATGAACTTCTTCAATGTCATGATGAACATACAAAACGTGTTGAATTAGAACACAAATTAGTAAATGAAATTCAAAATCGTGAATATCTCATTCAATGTCAAGTTAAACTACGCGAAAAAAATCGAATGCAGGTACGTTTTTAATCTATTTTTTGAATTAATTTATTTTTTCTTGAATTCTACAAAACAAAATAACAGGAACGTCCATTAACACGTTATTTACCAATACGTTCACTTGATTTTGATCTTCGTGCACATATTGAAGGTGCTGGACATTTATTAGATTCTCCACATATTCATATAACATCAACATCATGTCGTGGTTTTCTTCTTAAAATGGGTGGAATGAAATTTAAAACATGGAATCGTCGTTGGTTTGTATTTGATCGTAAACGTCGTTCATTATTTTATTATCAAGATAAAACAGAAACAAAATTACGTGGTTGCATTTATTTTCAATCAATTGTTGAAGTTTATGTTGATCATTTACATTCAATATCATTAAGATCACCTGAACCACGTGAAGCAACATTTATTGTTAAAACAATTGAAAGACCTTATTATTTAGTTGCACCAACAGTTGAATCAATGCGTATGTGGGTTGATGTTATTATCACAGGTGCTGAAGGAAATACTTTCGCTGGAGAAGGTTAATACAGTGTTAACAAAAAAGTCTTGAAAATCATTCCGTTATATTTGTACTATATGTAATGAACGTTCTTTTTTCTCTCTCCCGTTTTTTTTTTGTTAATGGTTTTTTTTTTCTTTTGTATTGGTGTGTTTTTTTCTGCGCTTCTTTATATTTATAATAAGATTTGTTCACGAGTATACAAAAAATGTCTCGAAAAAACAAAAAAAAAAAGAAATTTTTATGTGTCTTCTAAAAGATTATTTCGATAAACATGTTATTTAAGGAATTTTATCACTGATCTTTATGAGATAATGTAGGACACATAGTGTACATAAATCACAAAAATGTCATTTCTATTTTATTTTGTCGTCTGATATTTATTGACAAGTTTGACATTTAACATAATGAATCAATACATAAAGATATCTATTCTATTCAATGATTGATAACATACAGATGAAGATTGTTAATTTGAAAATATTTATTGTGATATAATCTTTTATTTGTTTACTTTTAACTGTAATTTTTGATGATAATTTAAATTGAAGTTTCAAACATTTCTCTTTCATTGAGAATCTTCGTTTGTGTTTCACAATATTTTCGTTCAATCTTATTTGTATAATATTCGCACGATGAACAGAAACTATGTAATGTGGATGATGATGTTATGAATTTTCTATTCAAAATTCTTAATCACAATATGTTGATGAGTATCATAGCAATGTTCATTTTGAAAAAAAGAAAAATAGAATGAGATTATTTCTTTTGTAACTATTCATTATTAGTCGCTCTCGGAAATATTCTTTGAGAAATAAAAATAAATCTATTGAAAATATTGTCTATATTTTGTTCTTTGCGTATAAATCGAGTTCTTTACAAACATGACACCGGTACAGATCATGCTAAACTGTCCTCAGTCTCACGATGATCAATATATTATAAGGAAAAAAAACTTGATCTAAATATGAGCAGACTGTTGATGCATCTTACTTGTCGAGTCGCTTTCCTCTTTAATGTTCAAGAGTATTACTCTAAAGTAGAGACATCTGCCCAAGTAGAACTTTGATTTGTTTGTTTGTTCTTTGTATAGTATCGAATAGGAATGAGTGTATATGACAGAGAGACGCGAACGACCGAGAACGCACGATGACAACCAGCTTAGAATATGAGTCATTTAATGGGATATGTAACAAATATCTATTCAGAAATCTATATGAAATTATTCAATGCTTCTAAAATATCATCGTAATCTTCGTTCATCTTCACTTCTTATTGATGAAACAATGAAATTAATGAAACGTTATTGTATTGTTATGTTTATGTTTTTTCTCGTTTACTTACTAGTATCAAATAAAAATCGTCTTTTTCCTCGTCTTGTTTTTGGAGAATTTCATCTTCTATCAACTGAATTTAATCGTACAATAAATATTCGTCAATCTCAATTATATCAACATGAAACTTCAAATGGTGCAATCATAACACTTTATGATGTAACACAAGATAATGAATGGGATTTTCAATGTCCAAAAACAAAATATAATGAAGAAAATATTCATGATGTTCGAATATGTATTTATGATCCACAACATGATGAACATGTTAGTGGACAATTAAATGATCATGGAAAATGGGAACCAGTTGTTGTTAAAAGTTTTCTTCGTTTATTACGAACATTACCAAATACACGTAAAGAAAATAAATTTTGAAAAATAGAATAATCAAATTTTAATCATAGAATTTATTTAGATGTTATTGATATTGGTGCTAATCTTGGTTTATATACATTATTAGCTACTCAATATGATCGTCATGTTATTGCTGTTGAACCATTATATGATTCTCTTATACGTTTACATAAATCAATTCAATTAAATGATGTTCAACATCATGTAACAGTTGTTGCTAATGCTATTGGAATAAAACATGAACGTTTATCATTAAATGTTGTTGATAAAAATTTAGGTGCTTCATATTTATCTTATCTTGATGAATTAGCACCATCAGAAAAAAAAATTGAAAATCTTATTAATGAACGTGGTATACCACCTCGAGTACTTGCAGAAGTTGATACAATAACACTTGATGATTTAGTTTCAATATTTCCAATATTTTTTAAACGAGCTATTTTAAAAATTGATATTGAAGGTTTTGAAGCATTAGCATTTGGAAATGCATCATTATTATTTAATCGTACAGAAATTCCAGCTATTTATATGGAATTTGGAAAATTAATTGAAATTAAATATTATCGTGGAATGATCAAAAACATTGAAGATATGTTAAATTTTTTAAAAAAAAGAAATTATGAACCATATGAAGTTAATGATATTAATCATCTTTTATATGATAATTGGGAATCATGGCCATGGGATATAGCTTTTAGAAGATGTGATATATGTCGATGTCCAGGATTAGAAAAACTTGTTGGATCTGTAGAATGAATTTATATTCTTAACAGTAAGTATCAGTCAAAACAAAAATAAGAATTTTATTAGTTAACAATGATAAAATGAAAAAAAAAAAAACATTTTTTTCTATTCTTAGAAATGATAAATAGATTGAAATTAGTAAGAAATTCAACAATGCAAAAGTGTGTATGAAAAGAAGTTGAAGTGCATTCAGTGAAATTGCTGATTTTTCACATTAGAAAATATATAAATAATCATATTAGATATGACTTTTTAGTTCTATATTGTTAAAAAATAGTTTTGACAAAGTAGAATATTTTGTATGAATAAACATTGTAGGATGTACTTATTCCGGTACATTTACTTTTGTTTTCTTAAATGTTTTTTTATGAATGATTATTACATAAGACTTTCGATTTCAAAAGTAGAATTACTTTTTTTTTTGTTTAATAGTATGAAACTATTAACATATTTCATTAAATGTTTGTTTTTTTCTATGGAGAATTAGAATTGAAAATGATACTGATTTTGTAGTTTAAGGAAAATTAAATACTTTTTCTTTTTTTTTGTTTTTATATTTGTCTAGTCTGTTTGCAATCTCGAAACGTATCTATTCCATCAATTTTCCATTCCAATATAAATTTCAAAAAATGAAATTAGATATTGATCTTTTTTTTTTTTGTTTTCTTTTTTTACACATTGTTTTTTACTATATAAATGTGCAACTGTTTTTCTTCTGTATTTGGTTCACTTGCTTGATTGATATAAAAATTGTTTTCTTTTTTTCTTATGATCTAAATAAAAATTCTTTTTTAGATATAATATGTCAACAACATCGTTAATTCCAATTGAATCTCTTCAATTGATTTATACAGTTCAACATCCATGTAATGTTGTTAATTGTGATCGTGCTATTGAAACACTTGGTGGACGACAACGTCTTGTTGATGTATTTACACATTCGACAACATCACAACTGACATGTTCATTTACACCATCAAATATCTATGAACGACCACTTCGTGCTGATCGTCATAAATCTACTGGACTTCTTATTCGTTTACGTCGAAATAAACGTACAAAAGTTGTTACATCAGTACATGTTATTGGTGTTCTTGATACATCTTATTCATTTGAATCACTTGCTGATTTTCAATATTTACCAATGATTAAAAAAAATGATCAATATGAATCATTTTTAAATCGTCTTGCATTAAATCGACAATGTTTAGATAAAGAAAATTTAGAACGACCATGTCCATTAATGTGTATTCCAGCTATATTTTCACGATTTTTTGATCCAACTGATTATGCATTTCGACCAGAACCAAAAGCAAGACCAAAACGTACAGCAACAACAATTACACGTACAAAGCAAGCTGTTAATAGTAATAAATTAACAAAAAGAAATGTTCGTTCATCATCAGCACATCATATTGGATTTGATGCTACGACAGTACCAACAGGTAAAAATTGTTATTATAAGAAACAAAATTTTTCATGTCTCGAATTTCATTTGCTTTTCTTTTTGTAAATGAAAAATATATAAAGATGTTGCTTAGTTGCAGAAAACAACTTTTCTCTATCACCCATTAAAGAAGGCAATCTCTTCATATAAATAACATTAGAGAAATTAACGTTGTTTCTGGTAGATTGACAATTCCATTAGGTTTAAAGAATGCACTCGAATGTCAATAAATCTAACAATTTACTATTAAGTAGATAAAATGTTGGAACATTCGAGAATATCCATTAACCGGCGAAACATGCATGAAAAAAGAGAGAATAGTGCGGAATGTAGCGGCAGTTTAAGAACATTCTCATTCTAATCAATATACTTGTTGAAGTGCGCTATCGGTTAATTAAATTGGACAATATGTCTAAACTGTCATAGAACTGAAACTAATGACAAAGGTAATTATTAAAAATAAAGCAATTTACAAGTTTTTACTAATCTCGTTTCGTCAAAATTTTCAAAATAATCTCACGATGACAGGTGTGGGAAACCAAGATTTTTTTTTGTTGTCGGTCTTGAAAAAACTATGTGAGATTTATTTTTATGACATTTAAAATAATTTTTTAGTAGTCGCTGTTTTTTTGATTTATTACAATATAATTTGCTTAAAATCATTCGATATTTTACTATAAACTTGAATTTTAGTTTCGATAAAATTTTACTGATTGATCTCACATGTCTCTACTTGCGATTTTAGCACACAACATAGAAAAATGTAAGGATTTTATTTTAGGTCCAAAATCTTTAAATGATCTTTATACAAATGTTGATCAATCTATAATAACACAATTACGTCGTTTATTTGAACAACGTCCTGTATGGACACGAAATAGTTTATTATATCATCTTAAAATAACTGAAGTTATTTTAAAACGCATTATTCATCATGTAGCATATTTTTTTTGTAATGGTCCATGGAATCGTTGTTGGCTTAAATATGGTTATGATCCACGTTCAGATACAAAATCAAAAATTTATCAAATTGTTGATTATCGTGTACGTGCTGTTCTTGATCCAGAAAAAAATCTTGTCAAGTCAAGAACATCAAGAGCTTATCATCGATCATCGTCTGTTATTTTATTTACATGTAATTCCATTATTTTCCCTTGTTTATTTTTTAAAGATTAATACCTGGACAAATTTCTACAACAGCAACTACAATTTCAGCATCAAATACTAAAAATTATGCAGTAAGTTTTTAAAATTTTCATTAGCATTGAGTATATTTATATATAAATATGATATATAGGAAGAAATGTACATGTTTAAAAGAACAAGTTTACCATTAGCACGTTCAATTCATTATCAATTGATTGATATACAACTTGATGAAGTACAGCAAATGGTTCATTCAAATGACGGCCAAGTAAAGAAAAAAAAAATGTTTCTTCCTACTTTTTTTTCTTTCTTATTAAAGTAAAAAATGATGAAAAATTTGTTTCATGACAGGCGTGTTTTTCTTTCTGCCATTGATAAACACACCTGTCGAGTTTTGATAAGGGAATTGCGAGAAAGGAGTACGTCTATGTCAAGGAAATAATTTATATGCATAGAAGAAAAATGATTGAAAACATACAAAAAAAAAGATTAGATTTATTTTTCAAAAAGTAAAAGTTTACAGTAAACAATAAAAAATCTTTTATAATTACTATGTCTAGTAGATCAATACAACTTTGGTAAGATATAATATCAACTCGTTTATTATTATTCTAAAAGAAAAGCTAAAAATAGTATCTTATTCGTAGTGACTATGAAACATAGATCAATGCATCATCTCGTATTGTAATCTTTCTAGCGGAAGGAAATTCAATAGTTAAGTATGAATTCAACTATAAATATGATATCATTACTCTTGAGAATGTTTTCCTCTTAATGTGATAGTCCAATCATATTATAAGCGACATTATTGATGTTAGAAATGAGACAACACGACACGATCTACAGTAGTACTTATAAAAAATTATTTTCATTTCATTGTTCATAGATGTTAGAATTCTAGAAGTTCTATTGATCTGATAGCAAATAATCATATATATGAGATAATTGAAATACATAATCTAAAAACATCTTTTTATTCTGTATTCTTGGTTTGAACCCTGTCAAATTCATTCGCGATAAGAGAAAAAAAAGAAACTAAAGCATTCTGTGAATATAATTATGTTTTCAGACAACAGAAGATTTGATATTTCTTTGAAAAGTGAAATGAATCATTCATGTGTAAAAATATAATTAACGATGAGTTCATTCTTGTATTTGTTTTAATATGATCTTTGTTATCTAGAATATAAATATTCTCTTTGAGAATTATGTTTTGCAAATAGGCCATATATAAACTATTATCAGAAGGTTTATTAAGTAATTTCTGACTTTTTCATATAAAAAATGCTGTTTATTTGACATATCTGGTTATTTTATAGGAGGTTGAATGCACTGAAGCTGATGGTTGGTGTGTTACTGATTATCAAAATCGTGCTCGAGAAATGATGTCAGCTGCTCATGAACAACTTTATCGACAATATCAACGTCAGCGAGGTACGATAAAAATACTCAAATTAATTTAGTAATTCATTTTCTTAATGAAATTTCTTATAAAACAAGAGTTTGTTATTAACATGACTAGTTACATTCTGTATCTGCTATTTTTGTTGTTTTGCTTTTGTTTTTTCTCATTTCTAGAACAAAATACCACAGCAGATGATGATGAAAGTCAACAGTTAGAAGAAGACGAGGACCATGATGAAGAAGAAGATGATGATGATGACGATGATCAAAATGAAGAAAGTAACGAAGATGATGATGATGATGATGATGATGATGATGATGACGACGAAGAAGAAGAAGATTTGAAAGAGGACTCTCATGGTGAAACGTAAAACTTTTTATTTTTAGTTTTGTATATATTCAGTAAGAGAAAATGTCAAGAGTCAAATGAATGCAGTCATAAAGTTCACCTATTTAATGATGAAAAAGAAAAAAGTTCTTAACTTTCTTTTATGTAAATATATTCATAAAACGCCATATATAGTAAAATAGAAAATGTAAGTGTCATATTATTTATATTCTTTTATATAAAAAAAGAAGAAGTCTGTCTTCAAATTTGATTATCAACTTGCAAGTAAGTTTTTATTTTATTTTGAAATCTAAAAATTTGAAATAAAGATTGTTTAATTAATTCAATAAATATGAATCTGTCAAATGTTTACATGTCTAGCATCATATATCATTAGATGTGTGATGAAGCGTATAAAAATGACAGGTGGTGATTAAGCTTACAAAAATATCTCATGCGTAAATGTAATTGCTTTGTGTTTGTTTTTTTGTCTTGTAGATGGGTCTAAATTCAACAAAGTCTTCATTAACAAATGCTGAGTATGATGTAACACTTTCATCACCAAATGATTTTTATCGTAGTCTATCAATAATTCAAGGTGAATTCCATTTAAATGTTCGAAAAAAGTTACGTATTGAAAAAGAAATTCGTGTCGATTTAATTGGTCAATTAATTGAAAATAAAAAATATGCATCACGTTCAAAGAAAAATTCATCACAATTAAATAATAATGATAATATTTTTTTAACATATTCATGTCAATTAATAACATCACATGAAAATGGTACAGCTCGAACAATAAAACAACAACAAATTACTTATCCATTTCGAATACCACTTGGAAGTAATTTACCACCATCATGTGAGTTTAAAGAATTTTCTATTATTTATTATTTGGAAATTTATCATGATGGACGTTTATTACCAAATACACATAAACAAATTACATTAGCACCACCAGCACCGCAAATGAGTGTACCTTTGCCATGTAAAATAACAGGTAAAGCTAATGAAAGAATATTTACATATTGTTTTAGAGTAGTCAGATAATTTCTAGAAAAACATCAAATCTAATTCCATTTAGTATTTTATATTTTGAAGTCGGAAGTTGATGACAAACACATAACAGAGAACGATATGACCATAAAGTACCGGATACATCAGTCTAATGAGCTAGTAGAGTTTTTCAAGCCTAGTATCTTTTCTATTCGAACTTGATGAGTGCAATAGCTTATATGCTGGATAAAACACTATTTAAGACTCTCTGAACGATCTAGTTATAAATGTTCTTTTCTTTTTATCAGTTTTGAATATAGAATAATCTATTTTTAGGTTATAATGATATAACAATGATATGTGGTCTACAAAAATCCTTTTATTCTGGTCGTGATTGTCCAATCGTACCTATATCAGTTGCAATAACAAATCCTAGACAAAAACAAATCAAAGCTGTAACAGCTCAATTAATGCAAACTGTTTCATTAAATGGAATAAAACGTGAAAATGAAATATTTACAGCTGTACTTAATGAAATAGATGAAAATACAAAAGAAAATGAAGTTAACGCAAAATGTGAATTAGTTTTACCAGCTAATTTATTTCCAACATATGTTCCTAATCAAAATGGTCAACCTGATAATATTCCATCGGTTGCTATAACTTATGAATTTCGTATGACAGCCCAAATGAAAGGTGCAACAACGCCTAATATCCGTTTATCTGTGCCTATTGGTATTGAGTGAATATACATTTATCTGTGTGATAGCTTACAACTTTTTTTTTCTTTTTCTAATTATTCTTAAGTTTTGTTTTTCAATAAAGCACCAAAGACTTCATTTAATACATATTATTATAATACGTGATACAAAAAAAATGATGGTGAAAAATGTTCGTTTTCGTTTTTTTCCTTTTTCTTTTTGTACAATAAACTCTATCGTTCTACTCAAGATATACACATGCTGCTTTGCATCATATAAATGAAAAAAAAAGAAAACAAACCAGACAGAAGAGAATCAAAAAAAAAGAAAAAGTTAGTTCAATGTTGTTGAACATGGTTGGTAGTTGGATGAATATCTTTAACTTTAGCCAAAAACGAATTGAGATAAGTAAATATACATTTATAATCAGGTGTATTGCCCATAATAAGCATATCCGAAACATCAAGTAATCGTGGTACACCGGCACGTTCTTCAGCAATACGAAAAGCAAGTTCAAAATTTTCTTTACGATTTGCAGGTGATAAACTATTAAAATCAAATGCATCAGGAAAAAAATGATGTGTTAGAGCACAAAAAGCAAGTCCATCTGACCATGATGATGAAAGATTTGTTACTGATACATTCTAATTTTATTTAAAAAAAGAAACAATGATTTGAAAAAAAAAGCCAACTAATCACTTACAGGATAATCAGCAACTTGTGCTTGACACCAACGAAGAAGACCTTCTTTTACATTTGATGTTGAACGAATAAGTGGAGTTCTAAAATTAAAATAGGAGAAAAATATTATTCTTTCTTTCTTCCTTTCCTTAAAAATCAATATTTGATTACTTTCGTTTGTAAGTCGATGGAATATTATTATTCGTTGTCGGGGGTGTTGATGGTGGCGATGGTGTTACTGGAGTATTATTAATTGTCATTGCTCGTTGAAGTGATGGACGACTTGGTGATGTTATCGCAGTTTTGTTAGTTGATATTGTTGAATTCATTGTTGGTTCCATAGAGACTGGACGACGAACATTAACCGATGATGAAGGAATTGATGTACGTTTACCAGACGTTGTCGATGGAATAGTTGGACGAGATGATGATACAGCAGCATTAAGTTGATTAACCATTGATCTTACACGATTTTTACCGATCGAAAACGATGAATCTAATTGAATAGAATCAGATTTTAGATTCATCACTGTAAATGAAAAAGTATATGTGTGTGCGCGCGCACATATGCAATTCACTTTTATCTTAAAAACTGCATTCTTTTTTTTTCTTTTTTTTTCTTTTCTTTCATTTTTATTATAAAAACAGTTATGAAAAGAAACGGATGAATGTGAATAATTTAACATGAATAGAATTAGCAATACCTGTAGGATTTTGTGATTCACTTATACTAGTTCCGTTGACTAATTGTTGTTTTTTTCCAGTAACTAATGGTGATGATGACGACTGAAAGAGAAATAAAAAAAAATAGGAAAGATATGAACGAAATATTATATTAGTTCATTTGTTTGAAGTATTGCCTTCTTATATACTTATATATTCATATATATATATATATGTATGCATATGTGTTCTTACCTGTTCTTGAGTAGTTTTATTGACAATATTATTCGCCATCGAAGATGATTGATTCGTTATTCCTGTCGATTTTCGTATCGATGATGTATTGATGGTTGTTGTTGGTGCAGATGTACTATTGACAATCATTGATTTTATTGGTTTTGTGGTTGTTGATGATGGTGGTTTTAATTTACTTGGAGATGAAACAATTTTTGTTGGTTGTTTTAAACGAGAGACGTTCGAAGTTGTTGGTGTGATTGTTGTACGTTTGGGAAGTTGTGAAATAGATTTATTAATAGTTTTTGTAAGATTACTGTTTGTGCTAGTTGAAGTTTTTGTTACGCTTGAAGAAATTGGAGGAGTAGTAACCTTACTATGACTACTAAGAAGAACAGTTGAAGCTGATGATGGTGATGATGTACTACTTGATGATGATGATGAACTACTGACTAAACAATAAGATGATGGTGAATATGTATGAGGATTGATAGTAACGACGTCATTCGTTGTCTGATTGTCTTTATCAAGATAACTGTCGGAGATAAAGTTGTTTGTTACGTGTGATAATGGTTTAACTGAATGATAACTACAACAAAGGCAGAAGGAAAGAAAAAAATAAATATAGAAATGTGTAAAGGAGCAATCTGACATATTCACGTGGTCATTATTTTAAAAGTATATGTCAGAAGAGAAGAAAAAGCACATTGAAATACTTACTTTTCATATATCTTATCTTGTGTTTCTGTAATGGATGACGTTGGTGTTATTTTTTTAATTGTTACATTACGATGTGTACGTAAAGGTGTATTTAATGTTGGAATTTTTGTTTCATTATTTCTAAATGTATTTTGTGATGAAGTTTGATGATTTACACATTTATCTTGATGTTGTTTTTCTCGTGCTAAATTAAATTGTTCTTCTGTTGTATTTTCTCGAATAATAACAAGTTCTTGATTATTTAACGATGATAAATTATTTGCAGTTTTATAAAATGTTTCAACAGTATATGTTGTCTCTTCTTGAGTAGTATTATCTGATGGAGTATGTCCATCATTTGATAATGATGATGTTGTTGCTGTACTACTAGTTGAATTTTGTGAAACAGATGATGAAGATTCTGAAGACGATGGTGAAGATTGATAAGGTATATCATCTAATTCATATGTAACTATTGATGGTTCAAATTGAACATGAGGAGATAAAGTTGTATTTAAATTTGTTGTTGATGATAATGAAGAAATATTTGATTGATCTTTTTTCGACGGAATAAGATCGTGAAGAATAGTTTTTGATAAACATTCTTGTTGATCTTTTTTTATTTCAGATAATAATGAATCATTATTATTATCTTTATTAATTGAAGATTTTAATATTGTTGATGAATTATGAAGATTATTAAATTTTTTAATAATATTAGCAATTGAATCTGGTTTTTCAATTTTTTCATTAACAATTGAAATCGGTTCTAATTTAGATAATTGAGGTATTGATGGAATAAATGTATCTAATTCTACGGGTCGAACTAATTTAGGTTTACAGAACATTGTTGATGAAGAGTTTTTCTCTTGTTGAATGGAGATTTTTGGTATTTGTGATGATAATGAACAAGAATCTTGAGATATAGGTGCTGTTAAACAAACAGTAATGCCTGATAATTGTTTTGTTTCATTATTTGAAAGATCATTTATGCCACGTGCTACTAAATTAGCGTATTGTGATATTTTATCTGTTGTATTGGGATAAGTTTGTTTTAAAGAGTCTTTAGCTTGTTGAAGAGCATTTATTGTTGATGTATATTCTGTATTAAGACGACGAACACTTTGAGTCCATATTGACATTGATGATGACGAAGCTGATGATGGTAATGGTCGAATTATTGGATCAAATGAACTGTAAGATTGTTCATGAAATGATGATGACATTGATGATGAAGGTTCCATTTGACGACAAACTAATGGTCGATAATTATATAACGAAGTTGACATTGAATTATTTAAGATTATTCCATTGTTTATATTTGAATGAATTGTTGGTGGACTATTTGGATAAATACTATTTGAATATCTTATATTGGAATTTAAAGCAGATGCAGGCGACAATGGACGTGAATCTAAAACAATGAACAAAAATTTTCATGATTTACTTCTTCTATAGAAAAAGTGATTATGACGGTACAGAAGTAAGGTATTAAGTATGATAGAATGATTTCTAGACATGGATTAAGTAATTTCATTTTTCGATGAAACTGAAAAAGAAAATCGTTGATTCGAACCGATGCTAAGGTAATCGATCTTGTTTATCTCTAATTGAATATCGAATAAAGAGGATATCAGCGAATAAATCAGTGAAAGTTTATCACCAATATATATCAAACTTATAAATAGTAATAGAGAGCAGTAGTTTAAACATTACACCGACAAAATCTTTGTTAATTTCAATACTAGAACAAGGTCTTTGCATTTTGATCAAAATCAAAATCATTTTTTTTTTGTTTAGTAGGATAAATACAGAAAATAATAAAATTGATGCTTTTCATGTCTCATAATTCGTCTATTTGTGTCGAATGAACATTAACGATACTAACGTTAGAGAGATCGAAATTTCTTATTAATACAAAAGCTACCATGAATTTTCGACCTATGACACGCTTACGAGGTGATTGATAATGAAGCCATTGATAAAAATAAATTACAGCGTTTCGAACATGAAATATTCAATGTTATCATGTCACGCTTTTTATTCATTCTAATAAATTTTTTTTTTCTTTTGAAATCTTGAATGTATCATACCGTATTTAGCTTGTACTTCTCGATGTTTGTCAAATGAAGCTGAATAAGTTTGACTTCGTTCATTATAATATTGTTTAGGTGGTTGAATATTTCTTTGAGATAATATTTGTGGAGAATACAAATAAGATGATGTTGATTGACGATTATCGTATTCGTTTTGTAGAACTCGATGAACAATCATATCTTTTTGATTTATATAATTTGGATTAATAACTCGAATAATTCTTGCTTTTTCAATACCATTTGCAGAATTTTTTGATTTCAACGACGAATCATTTGTTGTCGTTGTTGATATTGTATTATGAGTATCGTCAATAATTGACGATGAACTTGATGAAGAAATTGAAGAAGGAAAAGGAAATGTTGAAGAAGAAAGTAAATTAGCATTATTAATATTATTATTAGTATTATTAGTGGTTGTAGTAGTAGTAGTACGTCGACGAGAAGATGATGATGAATGATCACTACTGCTACCACCGCCAATATGTTTAAGTTCTAAAGAGCGAAAAAATGCTCGTGCTTTTTCAACTGCACTATTAGTTGATGCTGAATGTTGAAATTTTTTTAAAGATTCTATTTATAAACAAGAATAAAATTTGTTTTCTTTTTTGTCTTTTATTAAATATGAATTAACTAAACTTACCAAGTTTAGATTTGAAACGACTTTCAGTTTTTGACATTCTTTTTTCTTGTTTAATATCACTCTTATTCTTCTTCACGAACAATTGTCTATGTTGAGATTGTTGTTCTGGCCGTTCAACCCCGTGACGTTCATCCATAACGACCGACGACTCTTACTTTATTCGTCGAACAGAAGCATATATACGTTTATATTCTTGATGTTTTTTTTAAACAAGACGATAGCAAAGATGACAAACTTCTTTTTTTTTTTTCTCTTTTTACTTTATATCGATGAGAAATCGATCGATGAATATAGGTAGACGAAGAAAAAGAATGAATGAATATATGACAACGGCTTAATAATATATACATCAGGTAGTAAGTATAAAGACGAATGATACACAGAGACATATATCTAAGTTATCCGATCAATGAAAAAAGAACAAGCTAAATGCAATTGCTCATTCACTTGACAACATGTCTTGGCATACACATAAGGTTAAACGAAATCGACATACAAGGACTATTAATTTAGAAGAGACATACGTTTTTTCTCACAACCAACAAGTGCAATTGATGAAAATAGAGTGATCAATTATAACACTTTTCAATAAGTGTATTAAATGAACTTTTACTGAAACATTTGAATAAATTTTAAAGTATTGCAGAAAAAAGAAGTTTTTTTTTCTTTTTTTGTTTCCTTTGTTTATATAAATTTTAACGATTGACGTTCTATATTTGAAATAAAGTATCGATTTATAAATACAATAGACTATATAATCATAGAAGATATGCATACATATATATATATATCGAAGCAGATATTTTAGTTGTATATGCACTACTCATCTTTCATTTGTTTGATTAACGTTTGATCCTCTTAGATGAAGAAAAATTAGTAGGCGGAGACAAAGAAGAAGACATTCATAATTTATATGAGATGTATTTCACTATCGTCTCGAAAGTAAATGTGGGAGGATCGAGACATTCGTTGACCGATGCCTATCTGATCATTTTGTTGTCATCGTCTATCATAGTAATTGTACAGAAACCGAATACATAGTGATGATGCAAAAAAAATTTGAAAAAAAAAAGACCTGATTAAATCAAATAACCTTGTTTAATGTACTCAATTAGTTTCTCTCACTACACCAAAAAAAAATATACTTTCGAAAGAATGATGTAACTATTCTTATTTAACTATAGCTATGCATATACTACTTGACTTATGTAGATACGTAAATGCATAAAATCGTAAGTGATCAAACAATCAATGTATTTGTGTGAAATTAATTCAACCGATTCGAATATGTAGATTGTAATATATGTAATAATCAGTTTTTGCCTTAAGGTAAATTATCTAATATAACTGTTATCAGAATTCATTTATTTCACAATCATTTCTATTCGTTTTAAAACATATTCAAATAAAAAACGTCAACATAAGCATACGTTTAACGAAAAAAAAAGAGCAACATCTTCTTTGAATATCTAGTTCGTTTGTGAGGATTTTATTGCGTAAATAAAAAATCAACTTGTAACCTTGTGTAAAAAGGCAACTTTTACATTGTTAAACATAGGTTTTTTTCTTTCGAATAAGTTATTTACAAAAACGATTTAAATATGATTTACGATGTATACCTTCTTTATTTGTCTTATATATGTTCTTGAAAACATATATGCAATGTCATTTTCTGCTGTTTTATATTTCACATTTTCTCGTCTTCTGATTATGCCTTTGTATAATGACAGAGCAAAAAAATTCTTGTGGCTTCTCCATTTACATATAAATTCAGCAGTTCACATATAACATACTTTTATTCTTTAACAATCATAGCAAAATAGTTTCAATGTCAACATATAGACTTCATTATTTCAATGGTCGTGGTCGAGCTGAAGTATCACGTTTAATCTTTGCTGCTGTCGGTCAAAAGTTTGAAGATATTCGTTATGAACAAAATGAATGGCCATCATATAAAAATCAAATGCCTTTAGGCCAAATGCCTGTCCTCGAATTTGAAGGTGTTAAATTACCACAATCATTGAGCATTGCTCGTTTTCTTGCTAAACAATTTCAATTAGCTGGTCGAAATAATTTTGAACAAGCTAAGGTCGATGCTGTTGTTGATACAATTACTGAGGTTGCATCAAAATTGGCAGTACTTTCTCGTGAAAAAGATGAAGCAAAAAAACAAGATGGTATGCGAAAACTTTTTACAGAAGATATACCGAAAAATTTTCAAAGTCTTGAACTCTTGGGTAAAGATTATGGTAATGGTGGTCCATTTTTCGTTGGTAACCATTTAACATGGTCAGATTTATATTTTTATGATGCAGCAGAAAATATTCTTCGTATCGATGGAAATGTTTTAAATAGATATCCATGGTTACAACAAAATCGTTACGAAGTTGAAAGACAACCAAAAATTTCAGCTTATCTCAAGAGTCGACCACAAACATTTTTTTAAACAAAATAACAAAAAGAAAATTCATAAACAATCATAGATTATTCTGTTTTTTTTTTGTTGCATTATAATTTCGTATTTAAAATATAATTTGAATATATTTTAGGAAAAGTTAATTTATCTATTAGGACATCTATGAAAAGTATAAATAACAAAAGAAAAATAAAGAGAAATAAAATGCTGACGTATCAGAAAAGTATAAATATAGACAAAAAAAAAAACGAATTATTTTTTTTTTTAAGTATTACATTTCATCATGTAATGCTCCGTCAGCATCTAAAATACGCATATCAGTAAAAACATCAGCATGTTTTTTAATTTCTTCTAATGATAAAGATTTGTCTTTTGGTGAATCATCAACTTTTGAAAATAATTTGTTGATTTGCATATCGATATGTACACGATTCATTGGATTATATGCTTGCTAAAATTAAGACAATTTGAAAAACAAACAAATAAATGAAAAAAAAATTATATTTATACCAATAATTCATCTTTGGTCAGAAAACCATCCTTATTTTTATCCATTTCATGGAATTCTCGTTTTTGTTCTGTTAACCATTGTTTATCGGCTTCTGACCATTCCTTCTTACCTTCAGTGTCACCTACAGCTTCTAGAAAACAAAAAAACTATATATAGTAAGAGATTAGCTATATTTTTCACATACTAGGTAAAAATAAAAATTCATCTTCGCTTATTTTTTTATCTTCGTCACGGTCTAGAATAATAAAAAAGAAATAATTAATTAAAAAAAAAAAACTTCTAGAAAAAATGAAGATAAACCCATTTGTGTCATAGTATCTTCAACCATATATGTATATGAACGACCAAGTACTTCGGGATGACGAAATTCAAGAAATTCATCAATATTTAGTTCACCATCACCATCATTATCAGATTGCGACCAACGAAATCGAATTTTATAAAGTTCTCGTCGTACTAATATAGAATAGAAAAAATAGTTAATAGGGTCAATCATGGATCGAAAATCGATTAACTTACACTCAAGATCAGTTGTTTCTAGAACAGAATCAGTATCAAAGAAATCTTTACTATTGGGCTTGGTCATATTATGAAATCTAATATATAATATAGTATATTCACTCCATGTTATTTTACCTAAAGCAGATATATCGAATGAATTTACAAAAAATCAAATAAATTTTGTTTAGTAGCTACAGGAATTTTAATAATGCATGGCCAAGAAAATCTGACTGACATTTGTTTTAAGCTTTTGATTGAACTTGGACTCGAAATTTGGGTACCGTTGACTCGAGTTATAGATTTAAAAAAGTAAAAGTTTATAGTTCAACACTAACAATAGTTTCAGAAGAAATCGATAGTTTTCTGCAAGAAGAAAATTCAAGCAGTGATCTTATTTTTCAAAAAATGAAATTCTATATAAATCTCTTCATATACTTATTTGAGAATTCATGTTTGCGCATGTTACATAAGCACTAGTTGAATACGTGTTCTCTTAAAGCGATCTTTTAATAAAATCGAATCATTCAAATTATTCGTAATCGATAATATCTGCATTTTAAAATTTTTGAAGTACAATAAGATTCATTTAAATGTTAATAAAAATATTTTGTTGTTTGTAAATAACTTTAACTTCGAGTTTTTGTTTATCAAGCTTTATGCTTTTTTACTCTCTTGTGAAACTGCATGAAAAAAGGGAGGGAGATTCATTTTTACTACTCTTAGTTTTTTCACTTTTGATTTTGTTTTTGTGCATAAAAATTGGAGAAAAGATATCGTGTCATGAAAAATTTGTCGTTAACATCTTTTATAAGAAATAAACAGGAAACGAAAAATAACAAAAATAACTTGACTATTCTTAAGTGCGATCGGTAAAAGTCAGGTATTACCGATCACATAGGTGGCAGGTGGAATCAGACTTACTAGAATGTCTGAACATTTATGATGTTTTTTTTTCATCGTTTTCGAAACATTTTCATGAAATTTAAAAAGAGCAACTTCTCTGCTTTCTACGTTATTTTATCTTTGAATAGATCATGTTTATAAAAAGTATATCAGTCGTTTAATATGAAAGAAAAAACGGTATATTTGAGCGAATAGCAGGAGGAAGACGATTGAAAATGCGATTTTTTGCCGAAGTTCTTTTGAGGATGATTCCATATAGTTTTTTCCAATCGAATTCATTTACAATTTCGCTGTTCTTGAGAAAGAGAGAATTTTAATTGACGAACAAAATCTTACCATCTTGATTTGTATCAATCAATAAAAATAATTGTGAATTTCTCTCTTTAGCTTCTGTTAAATGTTGTTGAACGTTTTTAAGTACATGACTTAGTAATTCATCCTTTGATAAACGTTCGTCGTGATTTGCATCTGATCTAAATGCGTCAAAAGGAAATAAATATACATATATGTATATACATACATTTAAAATATTTACTCTCGAAATATTTCTTCTAATTTTTTATGTAGCTTCTTTTCATCACGTTGAATATCCGCTTCAAATAATTCATGATTACCCAAAAAAATTTCTTTATGAAAATCTGGATTTACTTTTCCATGACGATCCAATGGTAAACCTTCAATATGTTTATCATCTTTTAAACTATGTATACCAAAATCTTTTAGATTTTTTTCTATTTGTGATATATTAAAATTTTCTGGTATTTGAATTTTTGGTATTATTAATGAAGTACTTAAAATTGATGTTGATTTATCTAGATGATCTTTTGAATTTGTTACTTTTTGTTCGAGATTCAATGTACTATTATTAATTTGAGATGTCTAAATAAAAAAGAAAAGATCTTTGTTAAATTTCAATTACAATGAAAAAATTTACATTGTTATTAATTGGTAAAGCATCTATATCAATATTAAATATACAATATAGTAGTAAAAGTTCTACTAGTATGAATTTCATTTTATCTAGAAATAGAATTTCTATTAACTTAATGAAAATGAAAATAAATCTTCTAAGATCATTACACATGGTTTTATACAGATATTTTCTTTTTTTCTTTGCTATATTCACAAGAAATCTCTTCAGCTGTTTTCTTCCAATTTAAATGATTTTTTTGGCTCATAGATGCTATATAATGTTCTAATAAAAACTATAAAAATATTTGGGTTCCTATTGATAATTGACTAAGCTATGATATTTCTAATATGTCTATGTTCTAAAAGACCCAGGTTTTCGAAAACACTCGTATTTTTTAATTTTGATCTGAAACTTTGTGCATACAAAGAATTCTACTAGATTAGCTTTCATTAAAAAACATTCAGAAGTTTTGAACAAAGTTCATTTAAGATATGAGATTTTCAAGATGTATAAGCCTTTTCACGGGTAGCATAGAGCACATGCATTTTTTAGAGGCTTCATATTTCGAAGAAACTTTTTTCAAAACTTGTAAAAAATTTTTTACAAAAGTTAGTCTAGTTAAGTTCTCTCTATGCCCAAAGTTTCAGATCAAAGTTTGATAATACGAGTTTTCCGGAATTCAAATCTCTTCATAGTCTTTACTAGAACATCATAAAATATTTGTATGGCAAAAAAAAAATTTTGAAATCCGAACAGAGCAACTGAAGAAATTCTCTTGTCAGTCATTTATGCATGAATTAATTGGTCATCATTGTTAGTATCGTCATCAGATTGAGTTTCTAAAATTGGTTCTTCTGTTTCATCAATTGGCATTATAGGTGATAATTCGGGTGTTCGACTAATACATAATGTTTGTATTCTAAAAACAAGATAATAAAAAAATCTAACAAATATACGAAAATGGAAAATAAATTATAATATTACAAAATGAGAATCAATGCAACTATTCTTGTAGCAGCAGCAAAAATAAAAACAAGACCAGGAAAAAAATCAATTGATGCTTGATAAATTTCCACACAAGCAATCGTACCCATTACAACATCGAGATTTTGTATTAAAGCAACAAAACTAAATGCTTTACCTAAATGAATATTTGTTACAGAAAAATAAAAACATACAAAGCAAAATTCAAATATTTTCATGTACCTTTATCTCTTTCAGGTACTAAACGAGCAATTATTGCTCGTAAACATACTGCAAAATAAATACTAAACATTGATGATGGAATAGCTAAGAATAAAATAAAATGATTATTATAATTTAACTATCATCTTTTATTCCTACCTCCAAAAATCATTGCTTTATTTTTTTGTGCAAACGCAAATAACATCGGCGCAATTAATGATAAACATAAACCAAGAATAGCTAAATAAAGATCATTAACCTTCCATCGTCGTCTTAATAATGCTAAGAATACCAATGCTAAACAAGTAGCTAATTGTTCAAATGAAAAATATGCTGCATAATGTGTATCATTAAATGACAGAAAATGTAAATATAAATAAACAATAGATCCTGAACCCATTCGAAACAGATCATAGAAGAAAAGTGAGAATAGTAATATGAGAAATGGCAAAAGTAAATGATTATGTTTTAATCCAACAATTAAATCATGAGTATCATTTATTGGTTGTAATATTTTTTGCAATATACTACTTGTTGATGGTTCTGATAATGATCGATTTTTAAGAAAAATTAAACTTATCAAAAGTGCTAGAACCAACAGAAGAACATGAGCAAGTAACATATGCCATATTCGAGTATGTAATTCAAAAACAAATGTACACAAAGCATAACCAACTATAACACCAATATTTAAAGATGCTTCGATAATGGCAATAGTTTGAACATGTTGTTCTTTATGTGCACATGAATCAGTAGCATACCCAAAACATGAACTATCGTTATAAAACAAAATTCACATTTTGTTATTCTAGTATTAAATAAGCTTACGAAATAAGTACTAGTGTTCCACCACCAAACCCATTTACAATATTAGCTACTAAATATAATATTAAGCATAATCGTGTGCCTTGATAAACACTTGCAATTGTGATTATTAGACCTGTTAGTATAGCATTACATATTGTTAATATAATAGGTAATTTTCGATTTTTTGTATCAGATAGACTTCCATAAATAGGTGAAATAAAGGAAGCAATAATTGCAAATGAAAGTGTTCCATATAAAACCCATTGTGAACTTTCTTTTTGAATAGATTCTTCTAATATTTGAAATGATTTATTTTGATCAATTTCAGCACAAAATGATTCATTAGCTCGAAGAAGACAAACTGTGGAATAAATTAAAGAATTTGTTGCACAAACAAATAGCAAAAATGAACATAAACATAGAAAACAAATGCAACAAATAGGAAGAATAGCACACCACAAACGTGATACAGATGGTTCGGTCATGCTCTTTTTGCTATGTATTTATTATATTATTATTAATAATATTGCTGCTTTGTCAAGCGTGGCTCATATAGTAGGGAAGGCAAGTAACAACCAATATTAGTTTACTGTCGTTATTCATTTGATACGACCGATCAAGAAAATTGCGAATAAAAATAAAACGATGATAGAGGGCAGTCCATCTATCGATTCATTGATGCTTCTGTTTCTAAAAAGCTGAAATTTATCAAAAAATCAAACATAGAAAAGAAAACAAGAATATTAAGTGAAAATATTCAAGAAAACTTAAAATTAAACGTATTATATTACAGATGATACTCATTTTATTAGAACTATTGTATATTTAGAAGCATATCATTAATTTAATCTTCGAACTAGAAATTGCATGACAAATTTAATAATAAAATATTATTATCAAAAAAGGCGATAAAAATTATATTTCGACTGATTGATTCATTTTTATCAGGATTGAAAATTTTATAATAGTAGTGAAAATCGATTGATAAAATTCAAAAGACTTGAAATATCGAGGATTCTCAATTATAAGATCTTCATTTTTTGTTATATATATTTTCAGTTATATGTCACTGAATCATTTTATTGAGTCATTTTTTCGATATTGTTAGCTTTTTGAAGATACTGATATATTCATTCAAGATATTAAAATACATAACTTCTTTGTTTTAAAACAATAGAAAAAAATCTTATCGTAATAAATTTTGATATACTTAAATTTAATTTATTATTATGCCATTTGAGTAAGTGTTTTATCTGATAAAAACAAGGTTTAATTAATCTCAATTGATCTTCATTAGAAATTTTAATTTATCATTACGGATCTTTTAAAATAAATGTTAAAATATCTATGACTCTTACACTTATATCCTGACTTTTTACTGTGATATATTATAGTCTTTAAGATGTCTTTACTTTGAAATATTTAGTTTGTTAGTGCTAGTAAATAAAATAGTTTTAGAAAGAGAACTAAAATTTTTAGGTTTCTAAAATTTAAGTGATGTTGGTGCCTATGATAAAGATCGAATTTCAATTAGAATATATTTGTATTGCTATTAGAGACTTGTTCTTGCATATAAAAGCCATTGATATGAATAAATGTTGCTCAATTATAAGATATGTTATATAGTTTTGATTTTCTCTTATGATTAATCTTAATTTATTAGCGTTCATTCATGCAATTATTTCTTCATAAGTTTGTAATAAAAGCCAAATTTTTCTCGTTCTTTTGAATGGAGCACCATTTATATAGAATGTAAATTATATCCATAATATAAAGTGCTTCACATTGATGCTCAATAAACAAGAAAGTGAAGGGAAAAAAAAATCTTGAATACGATTTGTAAGGCTTTGTATGAACTATATTACTCTTATCATAGTGACATTGATCATACAAGAGCTATTTTGTTACATGACTATATCGTCCATCACTTCAATATTCTGTGGTGCGCATAACATTGACCTTTTCTATTGCTTTGATTAAGAAAGAACGAAGAAAGATCAACTATTTACTTCTTGGCAATATTTTACGAAGACATGAAATATAAACTGGGATGGACACTTGCATTATTGTGTAAGTTACATTAAAAAATACAAATTTTCTTTAATGCTTTTCTGATGTTTTTCTTGGAATTTAAGTTCTACTTGCACATATTCAAAATTTTACTTATGCTTTTGATTGTTATTTTTGTGCAAATTGTTTAAATACTCAACGTGGTATCCGTATTTCAGCTCGTCCAGAAGATTGGTGCTATGTAAGTGAATGTGTATTGAGATTTTTCTTTTTTCTGTTATTTGTTTTGTATTGTAATTAGAAAATTGTATGGCCATCAGGTCGAGGAAATCAACAAATGGTATCACGTGGTGCATCATCTGATTGTCGACAAAATAGTTATAATGATCCAAGTATGGCCATTCCAGGAGTCTTTTCAAGCACAGCTCGATATTGTTGTCGAAGTCATCTCTGTAATTCAGCACCTACACATGTTCACTGTTCGTTTTTTCTCATAGTTTTTGTTCTTTTAATTTTTGTTTTCTTCGAATATTTGGTATTTAGTAGTTGACAATATTGATTAAAAATTTACTATTTTAGCAAATTTTTAGCAGTAAATAACAAAAAACACTTTATGAAAAAATGTTATAATATTCTGAACTAATTGATAAAATAATATCTTCTTTTATTTCGATTTTTGTAAAATAAAGTCATGGACACAGACGTGGTATTTATTATTTTTTTCTTCTGTTCTTGTTTTCATTACTAGCTGCTGTCGTAGGAAAAAAAACAGTCGAGACAACATATTTAATAGGAAAGGTGCACGTGTCAATATGTTTTGAAATACAAAGTTAAAAAGAAAACGAATTTCATTGCTGATCTTTTTTTTTTCTTTTTAATGGCTCACTGTCAACTAAACATTTTTCCTGTTGAACTTATTCATCAATTATTAAGCTATTTTTCCACTCAGGAAATTTTATATACATTTTTTAATGTTAGTTCTTATATCGATAATGTTTTACTTGGTGATCCAATTTTTTGTGTAAATTTCAAATCAATTAAAAAAAGTGAATTTGATCTTATCTGTCAACAAATCATACCGAATCAAGTTATTTCATTAATATTATGTGACAACGAAAATACACCAGGTCAAGCTGAAATCTTTCTATCTCATTTTCAAATTGATCAATTTACTTGTCTTCGTTCATTGAAATTAATTGATGTTGGACCAGATTTTTGGGAACCTATTGTTTCAAAATTAAATGGCCTTAAAAATTTACGCTCTTTTTTATATATTTCATCGACTAGAATAGATTCGTGGATTTCTAATCTTCCAGATGATGAAGTTACTCAACTTGATCAACGTTTGTTTGATAGTTACAGTTCAATACTTCCACAATTGAATCGATTGACATTGGCTCATGGAGATTTTTTTAAATCAGTTCAGTTTCCATATCTTCATCATTTAACAATTGGACGATGTAAAGCCGATATTATAAGACATATATGTTATGCTGCACCGCAACTTAAATCACTAAAAGCTGACCTTCGATGTAATGAATCGACTATGGAGTTTATTTTTCCATTTGGTCAATTGAAACGACTTACTCTAACAATTGAAGGTAAGAATCTTAGGAATCTATATGATCAAGATATGAGATTGTATCATTATTAATAGTTTTCATAAATAATTTTCTTTCAATTTTTAGGTATATCTGTCTCAATGAAACATATGGAACAACTATTAGGAAATCTTCCTAATCTTAAATATTTAGAATTACACGGAAATGGTCATGCTGATTTAGTTGATGGTCAACGATGGGAAATGATAACAAGTCATCTTATAACATTCAACTTCTTTTTTTCTGTACCAGACGAGTTAGATGCACAAGATCTTGATTCATTCCGTAGCTCATACTGGCTTGATAGGAAACATTGGTTTGTTGCTTGCCTAAATAGATCTCTATTTTCTGTACCTTATTTTGCTGAAACATGTGCCAATGAAGAATTTCAACCGATTACTATTTCGACATTGTCTGACAACACAATTTTCTATAATTATATTATTCAGTTAACACTTTCAGAGCCGGTTGTTCACATAAGTCAACGTTTTTCTCAAGCTCACACATTAGTTATGTTTCATTTCATTTCTTTATCATCTATTGAACAGATTGTTGATCTTAATCGAATACAAAATTTAATTCTTTATGCAACAACAAATTATTCTGGAATTAAATTTCTTATAAACGAAATGCCAAATCTTTATCGTCTTTCTATTAGAAATAAAATAAAAAACTTTATTGAAGAAGTTCAATGTAAGCCATATGAAAAGATTCGAAAACTCGATATTGGTAATCGCTATTCGACTAATGATGATTATGAGAATGATTACAGTATTGAACAGTTATATATTGTCTTTCCTAAGATCGAACAGTTGAATATAGGTCATTGGTGTTCAACAACGCACGTATTTCATTTCATCAATCGATTTCCTCAATTATCAACTGTATCATTTCATTTTTCAAATTGGATTCTCAGCGAAGAACAAAGAAATAAGAATATGATAGAAATTATATCAATTCTAGATCAAAACCGACGGTCTCAAAAATTTAATTATACATACCGATTCGATAGATCATCTGTGTATATGTGGTTATAAGATGTAGTTAGTCTCTAATTTAAAAAAGAAAGCTTGTTTTTTGCATGCACTGTCTTTTGACTATCTGATTAAATATATTTATTTTTGGGATTAATAAAAATTTGCGAATGATTACGAATATTTCAATTAGAATGATTGCATTGATGTGTTATAACATTTATACATGCAAAATTCCATTCCACATTAACTACACATACGTGCTCATTACACTTAACAGAATTGTTTGAATAAGAAAATGAATTATAATTAGAAATCTATTACGTCATCACGTGGCTAATTAATTTTGTAACAGTTATACAATGAAGAAAGAATAAAAATCGTAGAAGAGTTTTCTTAGGACAAGTTGGAGTCAATTTCATATTCACATAGAATTTCATCGACACAAGTTAGATCTAAATAATTTAAGTATTTTATTCAATCTCATAAAGTTGTAAATCTCATATTGGTACTATTTTTAAATATGTGTTGTAATGTTATTTTAAACTAGTAAGATCCTGTGCATATTGTACAGCTATAACTCTATAAGCTTTATATTTTGTGTCTCAAACTATCATTTGAGTTCTTTGATTTTTGTACCAAACATATGTTCTCTAGAGTTTTGCTTAAAAAAGCATCGAAAGGAGAATGCAGATTAAAATAAAGAATAAAATAATGCAAAGAAAGAATGTCAAAAGGAGAATATCGAATAATATTATGCTGAATAGAATAGTATCGAATACGCACGGTATCGAAATGCATGTTTGTTGCAGGTTCTTGATAGCAGATCGATAACACGGCATCCATTGGAATTTCGATAGTTATGGGTCTTTTCTGAATCTATACCCGCTATAACATGTAATAATAGAACTTGAAAATAGTGGTACTCGTAGTATCATTATGATATGTCTCTTCTTTGTTTTGCTTTATAAAATGTTGACGACCACATCAATGATAAGAAAGAGAAGAATCAATAAAGAACAGTAAGATGTAACTTATCAGCTACTGTCTTTTTAATGTCATATATTTCATATTGACAAGTATATTACTGAGAGGTTAGTTTAGAGCGCAAACATTATGATGAAGTGCCACTAGAAGTAAAATTCTTATTTCTACTGTTCTACTCGTTGTCATAAAGTTCTTCTTCAAAAATAAGAAATCAGAAAGCAAAGGTTTAGTGGAACGTGGCATTTATTTGAGATTTGTCACTATTTCCCAAAATAAGATTCTTAAAAAATTGACATTCATTACTTATTTTCAAGAAAGATTTTAGTAATCGATGTTTAGTATTTATGTTTTCTAGCATTTCATCTCAAAACCTCTGCAAAATAGTTTAGAAAATTACTTACACATTGACAATGAAGGTGATGATCCAAAAAAATCTACTGAAAAACAATTTTCAAATGTAAGTTGCTACTGCCTGCACAAATAGATTGTTTCTTGCTCGTGTGAGAAAATCAAGAATTCTCAAAAATGATCATTTAAAATGACTACTCCGATAGAAATTGAAACGACAAGTCAGACTACTAGTCGCATTTTCTACTAGAAACAACAGGACACAAGTCTTTCATCAGATGAAGACCACATTACATTTTTTATCAACACAGTTTGATTTGCTTCTTTTTAAAACATGTTCTAGAATGAATAAAAAAAAAATAAAGTCTTTTCGAAATCATCCATTCAATGCTTGTGGACATTTTTGTTTATAAAAAGCTTCTTCTTGTGCAGTGATTTCAACCGCAGTTGTAGATTGACAGACTGTTGTATTATTTTTAACATTTTTTATTTGTAAAGTCATTATAAAAGCATTTGGAGTTGCATATGTTTTGTCACCGAAATAGTAACCAGGAACGTACTCAATACATCGCATACCACATTTAAAATAGAGTGACACGGCACTTTTGTTCTCTGTATTCACATGCAATGAAACTCGAGAATTCTTTGCTCGAATAGCGTCTTTGATAAGTTCATTTAATAATTTTGTTCCAAGACCTTTTTGACGATGTTCTTTCAAAACACTGATATAACAGATATATTTTGAGTTGTCATATGCTTCTAAACGAGCCAAAATAAGAGCGTTGATGTTTTTCACAGAAAGAGTAGTATTTTGAATGAAAAAAGCTAGCATTGTTGTGCCACACCATTGAACAATGTTAGGATAAGATCTATTCGGTGTTTCAAATGACTTTTGCAAGTATTCTTCGAGCCATTTGTTGGCTGTAAATGTTTGAACTGACATAGAACCATATTTATGTATCAATTTATAAAGACGGTAATCATCATAATCAGCTACATGAACAAATTCGATATTTGTCAATTGTTCTGTAAACTGAGAAGACTGCCTTGTCATCAATCTATTAAGAGAAATAGCGTGCACCTTCGACAAAATAAGCTGCAAAAAGATAGTTGCCGAATATTCTTTAGAAATACTTTGTTTGGATCAGTATTTTACTTCGATGTAAACACATTAGAACAATGTATGTATTAAGTATTCTACTTACAAAACTAGTTCTTCTAAAAATCTTAGATTCAAATGGAAATGTTTAAGAATTTTAAATAGACTCTGATATTTTAAAAATTAGAAAAGACAACTGTAGATAAACTATTAAGTGATAAGAATACATATCAATTTCTAGTTTATCTTAATTTGAAACCTCATTTTTGATATAAAGTATATCGGTATATTGGTTGTCAAAAATTTGATTAAAAAAAAATGAATAGTTAACATGGCTATTGATTATATTTACCTTTCTTCAACATTATCAAGTAAAGTATGGTACCTTTGTTCAACTGTAGCAAGAGTCATAACTGTCCATAACGTCTGCAACAACATGAACAAGTTAGCTAGCATTTGAAGTTCTCTTTACGTTGTATTTTTTTTATTTTGTTTCAGTTACATACAGTGACAAGCAGAAAGCCAGATTAAATCAAAGACCTTTCATAGAGGATTTAATGTTAATTTCGGTATCATCGTAAGTTTATAAATGTCAATAGTGATAATATAAAAATAATGTTATCGTTAGGAAGCTTCGCATATTTACAGAAGGTAGAATACAATCGCTTACATTGAAGAAATTCTATCGTCAGATTGAATACTGCATGTTGAATGGATTAGTAATAAATAAAAATCTAATCTTTTTTTAGCAGTGTATGAAATCAAATAAAAGAAGAAATATCATATTTTAGTAATGCAAAGTTTTTGAATCTTATTGACGCACATTTAACGTAAGTTCATATAGAGATAAGTACAAAAAAAATTAGCATCGTATTTATGAAGTCATTCATTCACTACATATTGTCGTAATTCACATTCTGAATAGAAAAAAGTTCTAAGAGCAGCCTACTCAAACAGCTCTCTTTTTCGATATGCTATAAATTTTTGGAGACTTTCTTTTTCTAAATAAAAACGCCCTTAATTTTAGATAATTTCGCCTTATCATTCTTATTGCTCTTGCAAACGAGACTGCATAAATTTTATGAAAATGAATAAATGAAAGGCAATCAAGTGATGTATCTCAATTGGAATTACTTGTTGATGGTATTATATAAATAATTATATATAATGATTTCTGTTTCTTTGTTGAAAATTAAACAACTTATTGTCTTCTTTTTTCCTTGTACTGTTGATGTTTGTTCTATTTTTTTTTCTTCATACTGTCGTAAATCTGTCAATGCGATATACAAATTTGTCTACTGAAAAAAAAAGCTGCATTCATTTGCTTTTGTTTCTTTCTTTTGGGCATACTGACCTGTTCTAAACAAAACTTATTAGAAGGCTCTGCTGCATTATATGACCTCAATCCTCATCTTAATCAATCTAAAGCAGTTATTTGTACTGTCATAGAATATGATTGTAAAATATGTTAACAGCTATCCTAATTAATTCAAGAAGGCATTGATAATGGCGAAAAATGTAAGAATCAAAGCTTTAAAATGGTAGCACAAGAAATAAGATTAGTCATGAAATTTGATTTGGAAAGTGTTCAATTCGAAAATATTATTAATGAACACGCTCAATGACTTTGAACAATTAAAATGGAGTGTAAATAACCATTTGGATCATGCATCGAAATTAATATTTCTACCAATCAGCGATTTACAATTTTGAAACTAATCACTTGATGATTAGGTCATTCTTGCGAGTGATAATCGAACAATATGTGACAAAAAATGTGCTCAAGATTGGTTCTTTAAACGAACAACAACTATGGATTCGTCGAATGGATATGGCTACGGTAGTACAATTAAGATGTAACTTGTCACTGAAACATATTTATGTCTTCTTCTTTTTCAAAACAAATGTTGTCGATCAATTCGATTTAATCTGCAACTATTTAATATCATCGTCAATAATACTCTTTTTATTGGTTTTATTAATCAATTAAACAGTAGAAAATAATCAAAAATTTCTATTATCAGAATATACTTGACTTATCAACATTCTCAACACTTCTATTTAACATTTCCAATTTTTTCCTCGTCGATATGCCTGACCTTTGAGAGTGTATGCGCAAAGAAGATATATGAACACAGCTACAGTTACACCCATAGCCACACCTTTATCCTAGTATTTACAACTCAAGCGATTGTATTTCATACTTATTCATAATAGCCTAAACATTTCAGTTTCAGTCGTTTCTTAAATAATAGTGAATGAAGGCTTTAATTCTCTAAAAGAAACAGATAAGAACACCGATTTTAAATACATATCATTGTTATCATAAAGAAAAACTAGTGAATAACATAAAAAAAAATACAGTCTCTTCGATCATTTGACTTCTTTGAGTAAACCAGTTTTTGTATCATATAAAAATCCTCGAACAATAATATCTTGTTTAAGTAATGGATATTGTTTATATTCAGCAAGATCATCATGAACTGATTGTTCTAAATCAGTAATTGGCATAAAATCAGAATTGTCTTCGTGATACGATAGTTGTGAGGCACTCAGTTGTTCTTTTCTTGTTCCTGTTCTCACCTATAAAATTCAACAATGCAAAGAAATGTGAAGACGAATAGGTTTACAAAGAATGAATAATCAAACCTTGAGGGAAGCCAAAATTTGTGTGTTCTTTGAAAAATAAGTAAAACCACAATCAGTATGATGAATGATCATTACTTCGTTTGTTTGTAATAATGCTTGACTACAAATAAGTGAACGAACAGCATCTCGAATACGACCACCACCTGAAATAAAATTAAATAATCCACATCAGAAAAAGCTAAGGCTTATCGTTTTATACTTATTCCAATTTAAAGAAAACTGGTTGGCCTAGAGTTCGAAACAAATCTGTATCATTGGCTATAGGTTCCAGACGCTCTACTACCAGAGAGCTGGACAAGTCAACACATTTTCAAGTCAAGACTGACTTGCACAATTCTGTATGTTACTAATCTACGAAATTATTTAGATTTTAATATCTATCTTCTCGGATACTCATTAAAATGTGACCAAGTCAAAGCTATCCATGTTTAACCCATAGACCTGATAAGATTTAGAAGGGAACTGATCCAGACGTCTTCTTCTACTTTCAATGATTTTTTGTCTACATATACTATATACTGTCCTTGTTACGATCGGATTGTTCCCGTCCGGTCGTAAGACGGAGAGAAGATATCCTTTGTAGTACAGTGGTTAATACGTCTGCTCGGTAAGCAGGAGATACATGGTTCGATTCCATGTGAAGGGGATTGTCTTTTTCTCCGTTCTGTTGTACTCCATCGCGCTGCTTAGTCTCGACCATGAGTCATAACATCAGACTCGTAACAGTTCTCGGAAAATTCCTATCAGTATCTGAGTTCTTACTGAGATTGAAAAGATTTATCGAATTTTTAAATATGGCTATTTTCTACAGACTTCTATAGTTTTCTAAGTTTTTAAGAAAAATCTTTTTATCGAACCTAAATATCTGTGAGATACAAACGTTCGTCGATACCTAGTTTTATAATTCTAAAATTCTGTTCACATTACTCGATGCCAAATTTCTCAGTAAAGGTAACTTCACAGAAATATTCGAAAGAACCATTTTTTGCTGAAGAGTAAGCTTCTCTAAGGATATCTGAATGATGGATGTACTAATAATCCCATAGCTCTCTGAAACCTGAATAAAAATTCAATTTTTTCAAGGGTTTGTACTGAATTATTATTTAGTATTCATAGACAAACAAATAATTGGCATTACCCAGAGACATCTAAAAAGATGTCCTCATACGTTTATTCACCATTTTGAATTATGTGCACTTCACCAGGATTCAATCCAAGAATACGGAACAGGTCAACACGTGCATCCATACAACATACAATAGCTAAATGTTTCGAAGGTAAAGCTCGAATATCATAGATTTTTTCATCATATGTTCGAGCAAAGTGAGCATTTTGAAAACAACATTGATCAATAAATGATCTTGAAGGAAATAGACCATCGGAGTTAAGAGCAGCTGCAAGAACACAATCCATCTATATATATAAATATATTGAAATGAATTCCAAGCAATAAAAAAAAATGAAAGAGAAATATTCAGAGACAAATATAGAACTGTCTTGTAAAATTTCTTCAATTGATTGCAAGAAAGAATAACGTAATCGAAATGCCAAACAAGGGCAAAATAACTCGGATAAAATTATAGTGTACCCAGAGCGAAGATAAGAAAAGGTCAAACAGAACTAAAAATGTTTTTTTACTCTTTCTTCCATTTTTGCTGCATATTAATGAATTTTGTTTTCACATGCATTTCAGTGTTTTGAGAATAACGCTCGGATGCGTGCTGCTATTATGCTCGAATTCTCGTTATTCAATAGAATTATTTGAGAGAAAGATATAAATTAGGACAAAATGCCTTGGAACTAAAAAAGAATTGTTTTCATAACTCATTCTAAACAAAAATCTATATAATATTCTATTTTCATAGATTTTCATGACAGCAGAAACTGAAACTATACTGTTAGAATCATGAAAAATTGTATTGTTTATAATGTTAAAGAGTATAGAACTCATTATCGTATTTTGAACGATCTATCTAATCTTAAGAATCCGAACTGAGTTAGCAACATTGTTTTTTTGTTTATTCAAAAAGAAAGCAAAAAGGCTATTAGAAAAATATAATAACACTAGTAGTTTTCTGCACTCACATGGTTTTTTCTTTCAGCAGAAAAAGTGCCCTCATTGACCTACACTTTAACAATCTTAATAGACGAGTGTAGGCAATAACTGTACGTATATCTCGCAGTACAATTTGATATGAAATCCAAACCAAATTATTTCGATTTGTCCTAGTGCAGTTTGACATTCTTCTAGTGGAAATCAAAATTATTTTAAAGTGAACTCGAACAGATCACAATATTTTAACCCAAACTGAACTTTAATTGATTCTATGACGTAGGTGATCAGAGAAAAGAAAATTTGTTTTTTCGATCTCAACAGTGCAAATACTACATCGTACAATCTCAAATGCAAAATCCGTTTGTGGAATTTTTTAATTTGACTGAATCACGATTATAAGTGCATTTGGAAAAAAACAGTCATTGCGTACGAAATAGTAATATATGATTACATATAAACGATATATACATATATATATTATAAGAACATATGATTACAATGTGAAAAGCGTGTGTAAAATTCTGCTTTGTGTGTATACATACGAACAAATTAATCCGGATCAATTTTGCAAGAACTTTTAATGATGATTCTAAATAAGTCGAGTTAGAACAATATTAATGATATGTGAATAAAAATGAAGTTTCAAACTTTTATTTACTAATAGATTAAGGAGAATATATAAGAATAGAAAGAAAAGAGACAGAAACGATTTAAAAAATGATGTAATTTCATTCTAGATCTATGAAAATGAGTCACAGTCTAGATTAGTTACAATGTTGAAAGATAAAATCGACGAAAAAAAATGTGCTCTGTATTACAAATATATAACTTAGAGAAGCCTGTACAGTACCTAATAACCTATCGAAAAATAATGAATATTAAATATATGACTATAAATACGAATATGCACTAAATCCTTCGTATTGAAGATGAAGCCTTACACAAAAGCAAGTAGTATTCATTTTAAAAATTCTTCATAAATCCGTCAGCTGCAATTTTTGCTATTCGGCAATGAATCCAATTTTCGTTTTTCTAAACAATTCGATTAATCCAAATATAAGTGTCAACATTCAATTACCGTCTACTATACAAATCATCTACAAGTTCATTGCATAAAACAAATCTTCATTTTTCACATGCGACTCATCTTCGCGTGGTGCTGTGTGCGATTAAATCACATGCTTGGATATTGAAGTTTGTGAAAAGTAAATTAAAAATCACTCTTCTTTCAAAAACACATGACCGATTCGACGAGTTGTGACTAATTGTCGTGGCGTTCAGTCATTGCTTTGACTAATAGACATCGTTCAATTGTTGCTTTCCCGATCGAACGCCGGAAAGAATTTGAAATATAGAAAAATGAAATAAATCTTGTGAAAATTGAAGCCTATAACGGAAACAATATGGACTTTTTAAAAGCTTACAATTGAAAAATAAAAATATGAAATAAGACATAAGAAAATACAAGTAATACCTTTTTTTATGAATTATTAAATCGAAACTAGATGAGCTTTTATGATACAGACAATGTTCAACTCAATTCAATTTCACAAAATCAAATTGAGAGAAATAATTCACAAAAAACTGGTATCAAGTTTTGGTCTATTTAAGAAACAAAAATAACTTTAGTCATCTGTGATATTCATTCCAGTTTGGATTAGAAAACTTTCATGAATTTTAAATACTTGATATCCTAAATCAATAACTTTTCAGAGCATACATGTAATGATGGTCAAAATATAATTAATGTTACATGTTTAGTTTTACAGTAGTATTGCAGATTTGAGACAGAATAGATAACACTCTTCAAATTTCCAGATAATCTTAATATTATCTGAGGAATCTATAGAAAGATCTATCACATTTTTATGATATTGATATCGATCAATTTCTGGTAATCCAATAACTATATTGTGTTTTTGTAAACATACACTGTTTTCTCATCGTAAATTTCGTTTTACAAAATAAGATACGTACCTAGGTCGAAAAAGCACGATCATAAACGGTAGTATACGAAGAACGTGCTCAGGTAGGGAATAAAATGGTATTAAAATGCTTAAAAATACACATAATTAAAATGATGTAAAACGGTCACAAAAAATGCCTGAAAATGCTTTTCATGTGACGCATCAAAATGATTACTTCTGATTAAGTGAAAAAAGGGTTAAAAAATATAAGAAAATAATATTAACAACACAAATCATTTTTTCGCATTATTTCTGACCTATTTTGTTGATAGGGAAATTGCCGATAAATATGAGATAATGAAATACTATTCGACAAATTTATTTCAATTTTAATTATTTATTACAATTTAAGTGACGCTTCTTTCTTTTTCGAAGATGATCTTTCCAATGTTTCATAAAAATTGTACTGTAATTTTGTATTTACTTCGACACTTCATATACTATAGCGATTGTGTGGAAAGTAAATAGAGCAAAAATTCAAAGTGATTTAAAATCAGAAGAAATGTTATAAGCTGATCAAAATGAATAACACAGCTATTTTTCTTACTTTCAATGAAACAACACTGAGGATTAGATCGTATATTTAAGTCGTATATAGTATGTGTCCATACTTAATGTATACTAACATGTTAGTCATAGAAATTTTCGTCTCAATGTTATTTCTACTTAAATAAAAAGAGATTGAGTGTCGTTTATCTTATTCAGTAAAACACAGAAGATTATGAGTGACGATCGATTGTCCTAGCGCATTTTACGAATAATCTAGAATATCTGAATAAACATCTTGCGCAGAGGAAACATTCAAAAAAGTCTCAAATATAATAAATGAAAAGGTGGTCTTCTTAGTTAGTACTATTTAAACTCGTCAAAAATGTTCCTGATTATGTTGGATATGAACACGACGATGTGTTACAACTGATGCGTCAATCTTTAAAATAAATTGGACTCATGCTCTTTCGTTCGTTTTATAGTTATAACATTGTTCTGAGACAAAGATAATATTTGACCAATAAAAATTAGCCAATCAGATATAGTTGAATATAGCGAACAGAATAGGAGTAACATGAATAAATAGTGTTAAACAGATCGAATTGATATGATATTATTAGACAGTGTTTTTAACGTTAAGTACATCAAGCAAAAGCAAAGTACTCAAGGTACTTACGATTTGTGAAAAATACAGTGTTTTGCACTTTACGGGAAAAACAAAGTACCTTGAGGATACTTTGTAAGATAAAAATGTACTTTGTTTAATTTTACGCCATCGTTTAAAAGTTGCATGTCTTCCTCTTGTCTATGTGTTTCACTTGCCGATAGAGCTAAGAACCTTTTTTCTCTTTTAGTTTAATTGAACTCATTATGGAAATTTTCATTTCTTCTTTTAGATTTCGATAGCTTTTATACGGATCTTCTTGACTTGTTGCTGTTGAATATTTATTCCTTGTTCAGTATTCAGACACAGCTTGTAACAACACATAAAAGTCTCGTACAATCCAAAAAACAAAAAACTGAAGCTATTAAATGTGCAAACAGTTGTGGAAAATATATTGCTGAAGGTGATCCAGGATAAATACATGCTCTACAATGTTGTCATCAGAATCAATATTACGATTAGGTAGAATATAATTGTTCCCGATGATTATGCAATAGTTGTCGCATTAAATTAGAACTTTCAATCGAATCAACTTCATGGTTTTTGCGATGATTGTGTCGTCATGCATGAAGAAGAACAAGAATAATGAATTTTTTTCTGTTTTCTTTATTTGTTGTATACATATTGTAGTAAAACTTAGTTCAGAGAAGTTTCCCTCAAACTTGTTCAGATAAATGTGTCAATATTTTTTTTACTTATTTATACCGTATTTTTTTATTTTGTTTTATTTGAACAAGAGCATATCTTTAGCTAAACGGTAGAATTAATAAGAACCTTGTCTTTGTTTTTCTTGACTCAGCTTTTAGCTATGGTGCTTTGCGGTACTTTGTTATTTAGAGCAAAATACCAATAGATACTTTGTCAATAGAAATGAAGTACTCATTTGCACTCTGTTTTAGATTTCTGTTAAAAACGCTGCTATTAGATATTTATATAATTAAATACACAATTCAAATAAAAAGATTCCGATCACTGTACGACAATACTTGTTCTGTATTCACACTGTGTCTCTTCTTATTTACAAAAGTTAATGAGACATACTACAAATTTCGATTTTTCATTTATTACTCAAAATATCTCTCTGATTTAACCGCTATGTTGAATAATTGTCAGATGAAATGTGATTACAGCTTAGTGAGAAGAAATTGTGATTGATTTAAAGTATTACTTTGATCTAACCATTTAAAATACCTTTACTTGCATTAAATTAGAAGTGAACATAGACGCATATATATTA